CTTTTAAAACAAAAATACTTTTCCCTTCTACGTGTCCATCATCTAGGATTTGATCGTGAACCACTACACTAACTTGCGATTGAGTTCGTCACTTAGAATATATAAATTCTCTAAATTTCCTAAGTCCCTAAACCCTTAAGTTCGTTAACCCAGTGAAGTAATTCCTAGGCACTTCGGATACCTGTAGGACGTAAGATTCCCTAAGGTTGTAAAGTCTGATGATAAGGAAGTTACTTACCGCAGTAAAGGAACTTAGATAAATTACGTAAAGTAATCAGAGAAGATTATTCCCGGTGACAACATATATACATGTTTACATATTATATACATCTATTAATTCAGTTATATTGAATTTCTTTTGAAAATAATATAATTTTTACTTTAATACTAATAGCATATAACATTTATAATAAAACTTTTAACTATAGAAAACTTATAATAAGTCAGATTATTATATCCTTCTAAAACTAAAAATTATTTTTAAATAAAATAAGTTAAAGTATCCTATTTTTAGATCAAATAATTTACATTATATAATATAAATAATTGGTTGTTAATTTATTAGAAACTGAAGTTTTAAATCATTATTATATAAAAATTATTATTGTTTTATGAAAATAATATATTTTAAATAATTTTGTAAATTATTTAGATATTATAAATCAATTTAATAAAATAATATTAAACTTATTAAACTTTATTTAAAATAATAAATGTTTTAATTTCATGCAATAATAAAATTTAGTATACTAATACTTAATATTATATATTATAACTTTATAAAAAATAATGATATTTTCTAAATAATTAGAAAAGAATAAAATTTAGTTTATTAATTTTATTTATTAAATACATTAAATAATATTATTTTATATTTTATTATAAATAAATAATATGTTATTATTTAAAATTATTTATTAATAACATAAATTTAAAAATATTATCATTTAATTTATCTTAATAAAATGAATCTAATAAGTAAATTTTATTTTTTTCTGAATTACTAAATAAATAGTTAAATAAATAATGAATTAAATATATTTATTATCTCTAAGATTAATTTTAGATTACTAAAATATTAATTATTTATTAAGATAATAAGTTAATATATATTATAAAATTTGAATTAATTTATAATTTATTTTAGAGATTAATAAAAACCAAAAATTTTGATTTTGATTATACATGCATTTCAAACTATTCCGTCAATGTCAAAGTCAAAGTACAGTACATATACTTACTATTTTTTACTTTCTACACATATTACTATTATTTATATAATTTAAAGTAAATAAATATTCGTTAAATTTAATATACTAAAGAAACTAACTATTCTTTAATATTAATCTTTTTTATTATTAATAATTATTTCATTATTTTTATATTTTTTTGCTATGCTATGATTTCTTTTTAATTACTTTAGTGTTGGTTGATCATCTACAATCCTAATCAGGGCGTAAATAGGATAAAAATTTACCGGATTTTTTTATCATAATAAACCTTTAAATTTAAAGAAATTAAATTCTTCGCGGAAATAGGTTCTGAAAAACATTACCAAAAAAAAACGGAGATCTCCGTTTTTTACAGTACTAACAAATGTTTTTTGCTTAATTTAATACTATTTCAAGTTTTTATTATAAAAGTTATTAACTATTAGCCAATTAGATAGTGGTTTATAGCCAAAACCAATAGATCATACTGGATAGAAGAAAATTTGATGTTGTTATATAAACTAAGTTTTTTGATATACGTTGCTCTGTAAATTTGATTGTGTAACAACAGGGGGTCATTCTTGAAGCTATAAAAATTGCCCTAAATAGCAATAAATAATGGTCCCCAAAAATATTGTTTGTTCTCTCTGGCTTTTTTTAAAAAAAAAATTTTTAAAAAAAATCATTCCATTTAATCTTCGATAATCATTATGCTATTAAACGGATTTACACTTGATGTTCTAATAAACAACCAAATATTGAAAGAATATAGTCTACCGAAAAATGAAAATGTAAGTCGAATTATTTTGAAATAATATTTAGCTTGTAAAGTTGCTAACCTTATAATTGTTCTTCGTTTTCTTCCTTAAAGTCTACAACTGGACCATCTTATACATTGGATGAAGTGACGCAACAAAAAAATTATAGGTTAGCTAATAAAATTTTTCAATATATTACAAATATATATCTATCTCTTTATTTTTATAAATCATTATCGAATTATTTATTAAATATATAGTGTCGTTGAAACATACGTTGCCGTTAAAGATTTAAATTATTCCGTTAGATTTTCTTCTACAAATGCATCCATTTGGGCTCCTTTAATGGCTTATGTTTTCGTTGATGGCGAATATGATTACACTTATCGAGAACTTTCAAATCCTTCACCTCGAACAAAGGATAGTTTTTGGAACAATACACTTACTAAGAAATATTATTTCAAATTTAGACTTCCCCCATCATCGGAAATGGAAACTTTAGAGTTTCCCCTCCAGAGAAAGCAATTTGGTGGTTTAGGTGCCATTTCAATTTATTTTTATAAGGGAAAGATGATACCTGAAAAGCCAGTTTTTATACCCAATTTTCCAATAAATCAAGTACAAGTATCCGAATCAAAATCCAGTAAGCTTGGTATTAAATTTACTACGGCGTTTGAAGAAGGTGAAGGATATTTTAATCAACAAGCCGTTGCGACAATGGAAAAACAAAGTGAGGATCCGGTGGCAGTATTACATCTTCATTATCGTCCCGCTACTTGGCTTTATCTCAGAGGTTGTGATATACCTGTGTCGGAACTGCCAAATCAACTTTCTCCAGCTGTTTCCGAAGACGTGAAACCTTATTCTTTTGAGATTAATGAAGGAGGTTCTCAGAATACCTCTGCCAGAAAGTCAAAGTATAACATTATTAGGACTTCGGTTGTTCATTCGAATAAGGTAATCGAGATCGATGATGAAGAAAATAAGATATCAATAAAAACTGAACCTGAGGTCATAGATCTAGATAATTATAAACCAAAAAATACTAAACGAACTTATAAGAAAGAAGTTGAAGTCATTGAGTTGTTAGATTCTGATGAAGAAGAACTCCCTTCCAAGGTTATTCGAATTGATTAATCGGTTTTTGGTTATGAATTTTGGAGCAAATTTTTTTTTATTGTATTATGAAATTCTTTGTAAAATACTTTTTTATTAAATAAATCTCAATTTTGTTAAAAAATATAATTTTATTATTAAGATCATGTAATAAAAATATAATTTCCTTTTAAATAAATACTAATTTGTACCGATTTTCCATACGATTTTCCATATACTCTCATCAATTCTGAAATTTTTATTATAGGATCACCAATATCGAATGCATCACGAAATTTTGAACGAGATTGATTGTCATTTGAATAAAACTTATTTTTTTTTTTTAAAAAAAAAAAAAATGCGTAAAAAAAAAAAAAAACTTGGTGTAAATAGCGGTATAACAAAGAATCTAAAAACCCTACCGATAAATGGACGTCACCCAATACAATTACGTGAAGTTATTAAAATACCATCAAGTACTTGAAATTAGAAACAAAAAAATATAAATCTTTGAATCATTAGAAAACAAGCGATTAAAGTTTTAATATGAAGATTCTCCATAAATTTCTACACTAAAAGGCGATTAACTTTAACTTGAATACCAATTCACTTTTTCTTCCAAATAAATACTCAAAAGATGAAATTGACGACGACTTATTTTTTTTTTTTTTAGGAGAAAGAAACAATTATTTTTATATAATATATGGGAACGTTTCCAGTAAAATCAAGTCATGAGGCATAGTAAATCATATGATCTGTAATGTGATTTTACTGGAAACGCTCCCATATGATAATTGAACTTCAGCCGTTGAATATCTTTGCTAAATTTAATTTATCTGAATTGTGCATCAAATCATGCGTGATGTTTTTTATCCCTAATAAAGAAAAACTTTAAATTACATCCATTCTTGTGCTTTCACATGCTAACATTTAATAAACCTTTCGTTGAACCATTGACGAGCATTACTAACATATTATGTAATATAAATTTGCCGCCAACCGACTGAAAAACAATAAATATAAGTTAAGTATCAAGGATAAATTTTCCCGACAAAGCCATGAGGTTTCGATGGGTGGCAAAACCCATCAAAACGTTTGATAGTTAAAATGAAGATTTTTAATTAACCCTCCCTAAAAATATAATTAATTCCATTCGAGACAACCTTTTGGAAATCCAGGTATTATATTATCTAGAAAAATTCTTGAGAATTTTTCTTAAATTTAGAATTATGTCCGAATTTCTGTCTATGTTAACGCCCGTTAAAATTTGATTGAAATCAAAATCGAAACCGTCGAAACTGTCAAAATTATTTCGAACAGCCATAATTCTCATAGGTATAATAAATTGCGATTACCTTCAGTCTACATCTTTCATTGTATAATCATAGTTCATTATTAGCTGATGAAAAAGAAAATGAAAAATTAAATATCTTTCTAAACAAAGGAAAAGCAAACAAGGATGCAAATTTTTGCCTATGACTTGCAGTACCCTGCTGTTGACGCTTCTCACTCAGCTTTACCTGGTAAAAAAAAATACTTTAACACGTATCTTGAAGTGGAGAATAATACTAAAAATTTTAATTCTTAATTTCGGCCGGAGTTAAGACAATTTTATCTAATTATGGGGAAATTACCTACGTCATGCGCGATTACTCCAATCTTGACGCAAGTGGCAAATTATTTTATTAATATAGATAGATTGATTTATTAGGTAATGCATAATTAAAACTTGCTGCTGCATCATCCGTAAAGCTTTAGCTTTAATTTTATATCTTAAACTCGAATTATTAAAATAATTAGTTATACGAGGCGTTGTATACACTAATCTTATTTATTTATTTATTTTTAATTATTAAGTTTCTTTCATAAAAAGAGTCGAAACACGGAATCGATAATTGGCAGAATGTAATCCATAATGAATGTCATACGAGTCAATTTTATGACTTGGGAAGAGAAAATGGAGGCGCCGATTGCGTTGAATAATTAATTAATTGATGTAGTATTTTTATTTGAAAAAAATTTATGATACAAAAATGAGAGGTAATGAATGAAATTGATTTACTTGACTGATAATGTCAACATTATACATAATCGCAATGCCCATTTAACGGTCCGCTTTGTCTTAAATGAATGATTATTACTCTTTTCTGCTTACATGACAAAATATCATAATGATAAAAATATCATATAACTCCATATTATTTGTAATTTGTTCATCGTTCTTACTTTTTATTAAAAAAAAACAAAAAAACAAAATTTTTCGTTATTATTAGATAATAGAAACACAAAACTTACTGCAAATAAATAAAATAAATGTTAATTTTGTTATTTCTAAAATAAGAGAGCAAGTTACATCGGTTACATTATGCAAATGCATTTTATGTCAAAATCTATGAATCATGGTGTTCGAACTTTCTTTTATGTACGTCTTTATCGTATCCATGAAAAATCAATGAATACTCGAACATCAAGAAATTGGAGATAATACGCATACTAAGTCGTAAAAAAAAAAAAATTATTGTGGGTTTCGCGCCATTTTTTTCTTTTCTTTTCTTCTTTTAGTTTCTAAACCAACCCAGTTGCATTGATCAGCCGCATCAGTAGCAACATGGCATGGCATGACATACCATTAATCAAGATTGCCCCATGGTAGCAAAGGTCCTATTAAGGATCTTTTGTAAGAGAGATATTTTAATGAACATGCAGGAGGTATCTAAGTATCCGATGTAACTAACTACTCTGATAATATTTTTCGAATCTTTCCTACTTTCAGTTTCATACTTTACCATTTATTTATTTGGGAAATTTAATATTTAAAATTATTAAATTAAATTTTAGCTGTAATTATACTCAGCGAAATTGATCGTGCACTTTTTTTTTGATATTTTTTTTTTTTTTTTTTTTTTTTTTTTTTAAAAAAAAATTTTTTATCGTTATTAATTGCAAGTTAAAGGCTAGGTAGTAGGTTCTAGGAAAAAGAATTCTATATAAATAAAGTATTTTTAAAAAATATATTTTTTTCACCTGCCTTTATTAGTGTCATTGATTTTTATGCATCGTTTCAGCCGTACCGTGTTACTTTGATCTTAGATCATCAGCACTGATGAAGACATGTATCACATAATCTTATCAATGCATTTTTTTGCGTGAGAAAATCATAAATATCCGGTTATTTCTATTTTTTCTTCCTGCAATAATTCATTTTGTTACAATGTACAAAATGCAAATTATCGATAAGTCTGGCGGGTGTATTGAAAAGGCTATTACCAGAAAGCACATGAAATATTATGAATACAAATATTTTAGTAATTTTCAAGAAATTGAACAATTTGGTTCTGGAGGTTTCGGAAAAGTTTATCGCGCGAATTGGAAAAATTCTGAATACTTGACGTTAAAATCCTTTTTAAGTCTTGACGCAGTCACCGTAAAAGAATGTATTCGTGAGGTGATTGCAAATTAATGACATTTATTTATTTATTTATTTTATTTTATTTTTATTTTTATTTTTATTTTTTTTTGATCCATTTTAATGATTAGAATTTGTATTTACGAATTAGCTTGAACTGCAACGTGAAGTTGGTATTCATGAGAATATTATTCGATTTTATGGGATCACAAGTCAAGGTATATTTGATAAATAATGATTAATCTTAAGTGAGCTTAATGTTTATTCACATATATATCTACTATTTTTCATTAGAAAATCTAAATTTTAGATCAAGAAAATATTTCATAGTAATGGAATATGCTAATGGAGGTTCACTTCGAAATTATTTAAAAAATTCTGACAATCTTACTTGGAGGGTCAAGTACAACTTGGCATACCAGTTGTCTTGCGCCGTATTATGTTTACATCATGAAGGAATAGTTCACCGAGATTTGGTAAGATTTTTTGCATGAATTTTAATTCAAGGATGATGTTCGCTAAAGATTAATTTTTTAATCTCTATCATACAATTTTAGCATTCCAAAAATGTATTAATTCACAATAATAGTATTAAACTGGCTGACTTTGGACTTTCAAAAAGAATTGAGGAAGCTTCCATATCTCAATCAAGATCAACTGAAATGATCCCTTATACTGACCCAAGAATGTTTAATATGCGAAGGAGCAGCATAAACAGGAACTTTTCAATTCATACGTATAAGCTAAACTCAAAGAGTGATGTTTACAGTATTGGCGTATTATTATGGGAAATATCCAGTGGTCATCCTCCTTTTTATTCTGAAGACGATCAACATAGTGTTGCTTTGGCTATAGAAATTTCACGAGGTCTTAGAGAACCAAATGCTCCTGATACGCCTAATGATTACGTAAATATTTATACTGGTAAATTTATTATTTAAATTTTTTTTAAAAATTACAAATAATATATGATTTTGTCGCTAAAAATTTATCTTAAATCTCTCATTTTTAGAATGTTGGGATCATGAACCAGATTATCGTCCAACTATGAGCCAAGTTGTATATAAATTAGAGTCGATTATTAAAAACTTAAGCACAACGAAAGAATTATCTTCGATTAACGTGAACGTAAAAGAAGTTGAACCATCAAATAATGAACCTACTTTACACAAGAAGAATTTGGGAATGATCATTAATGAAATAGTTGTTCTTATTTTCAAGGAGACAAATAAAGGAATTGGTTCAAAAATAAGAAATCAGCATGTTTTTGAATACTTTAACAGTCAAAACATTACTTTACAGGAAATCGTGAATTGGTCGTTAAAGCAAAATAATTCGAATTCCATCTTTTTACTCGGATACTTTAATTATTATGGAATTGAAACGAGTGAAGACAATGAAGCCGCATTTAAATTGTTTCATAATGCTTCAAAACGCAATCACGTATTAGCGCAATTTTATATGGGAATGTGTTATCAGTATGAATATGGCATAACAAAAGATGAGAAATTGGCTTTTGAATATTATAAGAAAGTGTCCAATCAAGGTTTTGCGGAAGGTCAATCGCAACTTGGATTTTGTTATAATAATGGAATAGGTATCGAAAAAGATTTGAACATGGCCATTTATTGGTATGAAAAATCTGCAGAACAAGGTCATCAAGGTGCTCAATATAACCTTGCATATATATTATATAATGGGGATGAAATCGATAGAGATATCGATCAAGCAATTTATTGGTTCGAAAAATCTGCTAATCAAGGATATCAAAATGCTCAATATAGTCTTGGTTGCATATTTTATAGCGGAGATGAAGTTGTTAAATATACTGATAAGGCAATTTATTGGTTTGAGAGATGTGCTGAACAGGGACATAAAATAGCCCAATATAACCTTGGTGTTATATATAAGGACGGTGATGGAGTTAAGAAAGATATAAATAAAGCAATTCATTGGTATGAGAAATCCGCCAAACAGGGATATAAAATAGCTCAATATAGTCTTGGTTACATTTATTATAGTGGTGATGTAATTGATAAAGATTCCAGTAAGGCAATTTATTGGTATGAAAAGTCTGCCGAACAAGGATATAAAATGGCTCAATACAACCTTGCCCTTATGTATAAAAATGGAGACGGAATCGATAAAAATATGAATAAGGCCATCTATTGGTATGAAAGATCCGCAGAAGCTGCTCCAATTGATTTTGATAAAGATATGGACGAAGCAATTTATATGTATGAAAAATCTGCTATACGAGATGCTCTATATGAACTTGGTTGGATATATTGTAGCGGGGATGGAGTTGATAAAGATATTGACAAAGCGATTTATTGGTTTGAAAAATCTGCAGAGCATGGGCATCAAATAGCTCAATATAATCTTGCACTCATATATAAAGATGGAGATGGAGTTGATAAAAATACTGATAAAGCAATTTATTGGTATGAAAAATCAGCAAATCAAGGATATGAAGTTGCTCAATATAATCTTGGCATCTTATATTATAATGGAGATGAAGTTGATAAAGATATAGATAAGGCGATTTACTGGTATGAAAAATCGGCGGAACAAGGGTATCAAAATGCTCAATATAATCTCACATGTATATATTATAATGGAGACGGGATTCATAGAGATATGGATAAGGCAATTTATTGGTATAAAAGATTTGCGGAAAAAGGAAATCCAAACGCTCAAGATGAATTAGAAAATCTTTTAGAAATCAAAATGGAAAAAACGGAAAGGAGCGACTCATGTAAAATAATGTGAATATTTGTATTTAATTGTATGTAATATTATTCAATGTAAATTAAGAATTCTAAAAATCATCAATCATTATTAATTAATTAATTAATAATAAATGTAACATATTTAAATATAAAAAGATTAAATATATGATTTCCATTTCGTAAAACTAAAAACATTTTCTCGATCACACAAAAATAACAATAAAATGTAAAGTGCATTCCATTACGATGACATTCTTAGATATATTATCTAGTCCCTACTTTTTTTTAATTGACAGGTTGGAGATTAGAATCGAAATATATCATAGAAAGAGATAAATCAGCAAGTTTTTTGATTTTTATTGATTTTTTTTTTTTTTTTGATTTACCGAAAATTTTTAAACGATCACCGATAAATTCTAGGTCATTTGCGACTGTGACAATTATTAATAATATGGATGGTTATCATTTTTATTAATTAGTCCGGGGCATTGTGCCCAAATTTTGTCTAGCTTAGTTTTTTAAATTGTCTAAATTTTTGTAGATCGATAGGCCAAATTGCCATCGGCCAATTTGTTTCATGGCTCAAGTTCCTTGATTTCCTAGATAACAATATAGATAATTTGTGTTTAGTATTTTTCTCTTTAAATAAAATACGTATCTGATCGTATAGAGCGAGGCAATACCTTATTTACGTAGTTTTATGTTAGTTTTAGTTGTTATTAATAAATTGCATTTACAATATAAACCTTCTGCTTACCTTTACTATCGGTTTCAACCTAAAACATAAAGGACTGCGCATAACAATACTTAGACTTCGAATTTGACTTGATATTTGAATGACATGATCGACATGATCGCTGTATAAAAAAATAAATAAAAATAAAAATACGAATCAACTACCTGATATGAATAAATTTCTATACGACTAATAATTATCAAGTGTTCTTTTATAGAAGTACAATAAAATGACTTCCAAATACTGAGGATTTTACTTTATCTAATTCAGTTAGATTGCTCCATTTTTTTTATTGAATGATGCTTATTAATTATGACCATGCAAAATAAAAATTCGTTAATTACTGTAATTTGGATAATGTTATCGGTGAGTAGTTGTATCGTTGATTAATATCAATATTTGTACAACAGTAAATTTCCCTTCGATGAAGAGATACGCATTATCAACAACACATACTGAGCTGATGTATATATCCTTAATATCGACAATTATATGAATATAGTATTAGTAGTCGTGGCAAATTCTGGAGTCAGATCAGTCATCCTTTTCAGTCGAATTTCGTCGTCGAGTACCAACAGCTGGTATCACTATTGTAATTTATACCATCGGTATTTATTATTTACTCCACTACTTTATCTCAATATTAATAATGATAATATAAATACGAAAATTTATTATGTAAAGCAATTATTAATAAATGTTAAAGTGTACTAGAAATAATTATCTTTAACATTTGATGGTTCTTATTCTTCTCTCTTTTTTCTTTGGAATTTAAAATTGTCATATTTCTTCATTTGTAAGTAATAAAAAACAAATTTTTAAAGGAAAAATATTAATAGGAAAAAGAGAGCTTAATAAAAAATTTCCACCGATGAAATGTCATACGCAATAAGATAAGCCATATGAACGCATGTGATCATTATATAACCCAATGAATAAGCCACTAAATCGCGCTTTTTATCCCGCGCCGAATATATATTAGATCAAATATTTTATAAACTAAATCTTAACGTAACGTTCGGAAAAGCGCAGTTTCACAATTTTTCGGTGCCTTTTCTGGACGTTACAAAAAATGTGAGACATTTTTCGGACTTTACGGATGTTCATCTACATTCCTATAATTAATGCAAAAGTCGAAAATAAGAGTCATCAAAATCAAGATCATTTATTTTTAAAATCAAAATTCGTCCAGTGCGACAAACCGTTTTCACATGAATCCTTATTTACTCAAAACATAATGAATTTTCGTCAGTTATAAATAGCTTAAGAAAATTCTGAAATTCTAAAATTCTTATACTTGTAATTTTGATTTCCAAATATTGACAAAATAAATGGATGGTGATCGACATACATTTTTCCATACTGCTTTCAAGAAAAAATTTTAATGAAAAGTGTATCCTAATCGGTTTTAACAATGAAATTGGAACATGAAAAAACCATAATAAATAATTTATGTCTAGTTATAAATTGTAAAAAAATGATTCTTTTTTTCTTTTTGAAAAAAAAAGAGTATTTTTATTTTTCAAATTTAAACATACACTTTTTTAATACCCGCAACAATAAAATAACTTTTTCAAAAATGTTTGGCGAGGAAATTTATGAAGGGGTTAATTGGATTGAAGAAGCTATTTCTAAGAAACATATCAAATATTACGATTACAAACAATTTAATAACATTCAAGAAATTGGCTCCGGAGGATTCGGAAAGGTATTCCGTTCAAATTGGAAAAATTCTATTAAATATTCGGCGTTAAAATCTTTTAACAATCTTAACGACACAACTTTTAAAGAAATTGTTCACGAGGTATTTAAGTCAAAACGATCATTTCAGCCTCCTCAATGTTTGCTAATTCTAATTCATCATCGGAATTTATATAGCTTAAATTTCATCGTGAAGTTGATTTTCACGATAATATAATTCGCTTTTATGGTATCACAAATTCCAATCAAGGTAAAAATCCCCGTAAATAAAGTTTATGTCATGTACATGTATATCATGCAATGGCAATCATGAGATTAACCTAAACACGTCAAAAATTTTTCTTTTATTTATTATAGAGAATCAAAATAATCAATCGAAAAATTATTTATTGGTATTGGAATATGCTGATGATGGTACTCTTCAAAGCTATTTGAAGAGAAATTTCGGTAACCTTACTTGGAACAATAAATTCAACTTGGCATTTCAATTGGCTCACGCTGTGTTGTGTTTACACGATGAAGGAATTGTGCATCGTGATTTGGTAATTATTAAACTTGTAATAAGAGATAAATAAATGAGTAATAATACTGTTTTAACTTATTTATTTATTTTAAATAAATTTAATAATAGCATTCCAAAAATGTCTTGATTCATCAAAATAGCATCAAGTTGGCCGATTTTGGATTATCCAAAAGGATTGACGAAGCATCCGATTCGACCTTACGTGGTATAATCCCTTATATTGATCCAAGAAAATATAAAAGAAGAAATAGTCTTGGCGTTAATTCAACGCAAATACATAAATTAAATGTAAATAGTGATGTATATAGCATTGGAGTATTATTATGGGAGATATCAAGTGAGCGTCCTCCTTTTTACACTGAGGGTGAAACATATGATTTTGCTTTAGCCATGGAAATTTTACAAGGTCTTAGAGAAATGATCATTCCTGGTACACCTGAAGAATATGTAAAAATTTATACTGGTAAATTTGTTATTCCTTTTTTGGTTTATTTAAAATTTATATATTTATATATATATTTGATTGTTAATAAGTTATGATTCTTAGAATGTTGGGATGACGAACTTGACAATCGTCCAACCATGAAACAAATAGTCGATAGACTAATATCATTAATCTCAGGAACTAATTCATCGATTAATGCTGATGATCAAGTGATTAATCGTGATCAATATACTCCGATATCAAGTAATCAACAACTCAATCCATGTACTAGTGATCCGCTTCAAGGAGGATTATCTAAAGTCATTCAAAACTTCCATGGTATGGATACAGCAGAGGTGGTAAAGACTATAACAACCTCAGACAAAAGTTTGAACAGGATAATAGAGGAGATATTAATTCTAATCTCCGTTAGATTAGATAAAGGGAAGGAATGGAAGAAGGAAATCGAAAGTATCGTTGACTATCTCGAGAATTACAATATTACATCACTAATTCTTTACGATTGGTTATTAATTAATAACCTAGGTGATCCAAATGCCATGTTTTTACTTGGATATTTTTATTATTATGGGGTGGAAACCAATATTGAAAAGAAAATGGCTTTCGAATTATTTTTTAACGCCTCAAAACAACAACACACTTTATCGCAATATTACGTTGGATTATGTTATCTATTTGGAGATGGCGTTATAAAAGACGAAAAATTGGCTTTTAAATATATTGAAACCATCGCTAATAATGATTGTGTGGCGGGTCAATTGGAACTCGGTCATTTTTATAAAAAAGCGATCGGTGTTGAAAAGGATATAAGAATGGCATATAAGTGGAATTTAAAGGCCGCCCATAATGGAAATTTAAGAGCAAAATGTATCCTTGGGAACTTTTATTTAAATGGCGAAGGTGTCAAGAAAAATTATGAAAGTGCTTTTGAATTATTTAGACAATCGGCCGAAGGAGGATATTCGAGTGGTATATCGATGTTAGGACATTGTTATATCAAAGGGGTTGGGACTAACGTCAATAAGCAAAAAGCATTTGCATTATATCAAAAGGCGGCAAATTTAGGAAACAAGACCGCTCAATTTAATCTTGCCATTATATATAAGAATGGAGATGGGATTGATAAAGATATAGATAAAGCAATTCATTGGTATATAGAATCTGCTAAACAAGAACATAGAAAAGCTCAATATAATCTTGCCATTATATACGAAAATGGAGATGGAATTCATAAAGATATAGATAGAGCAATTTATTGGTATAAAAAATCTGCCGAACAGGGACATCAAAAAGCTCAGTATAGCCTTGCTCGTATGTTTAGAATTGAAGGTGATATAGATGGGGCAATCCATTGGTACAGAAAATCTGCTGGACAAGGATATTATAAAGCTCAATACAATCTCGCTCAAATATATGAGAGTGGGGATGATATCGATAGAGCGATTTACTGGTATAAAAAATCTGCCGAACAAGGAGACCGAAATGCTCAATATAATCTTGCTGTAATATATGAAAATGGAGTTAGGATTAAAGATTTAGATAAGGCAACTTATTGGTATGGAAGATCTGCCGAACAAGGAAATCAGGACGCAAAAGATAAACTTTCACAAATATATGAATATGAGGATGAAACTGATGAAGATTTTGATGAAGAGAGTTTTTGGCATGGCAAGTCCTCCGATCAAGGACATCCAAATGGGTTGATTTATTTTAACGAATCTTTCTATAATTTTTGATTTTTTATTCATTATAAATAATATTTTTAGGTTTATATTTTAATATTATAAATATTTTTAGGTGCTTTATGTGATGTGTTGTGTTGTTAAGTGTTAATAAACGGGGTTGTCCCATAGTTCATGTTAATTTGATAGATGACTGATAAATGATATAACAATATTCTAATCGTGGAGCGGATAAAATATGCCACTATAAATTATTAATTTCAATCACGTGATATATGTCGCATTAAATTTACGTATTCATAAAAATTAAATAACATATTGTTCCTTGAAAAAAATAAATTATCATACAGTTTAATAAAGCTTACTTTCAATCTTGGCGTAAATTTTTTGTATCGTCTCCGACATAAATTTCAATTATAGATATGGTAATTCGAAAAAAAGAAATTTCGAAAAAGTATCATCCTTGAGAAAATATGAATATTATTTTGTGTTACAATGCTATACCGCTTTTGTTAAAATTTATTTTACTTGTGACCAATTCATTATTTGTCCTTTTTTAAAATTAATTTATATTGTAAAGACGTTAAAGATAAGAAACTATAAAAAGATTTTCTAAATTAATAAAATCAATTATATAATATCAATTTACCATAAATATAATCATTGTAATAATAAAGAATAAACAGTAGGTCTGAACGTGTGATATGACCAAGAAATTTTCGTATTCGGTAAATATTGTGCTATTGAAGAAACTTGGATGCTAAACGTGCAAATTCCAATTTGTTGAATTGTTTGTATTACAAGAGAGAAGAAAAATTTTTTAAAAAACAAATCAGGTTTTTAATGTCCATTATTACAAATTGAACATAATGATGAAACCATATTCATTGTATTACGCCTTAAATAATGCGAAGGCTCCGTTTTTGTTATGATCCTTTGCATGGCCGTTAATAAATTTAGATAATACAGTTGGACCTTGATATACCGATATTCTATATGCCGATATACTATTAAAAACTTGATATACCGATAAATTTTATTTACCCACTATATTTGAGGTCATAAATATCGACATAATTTGAAATAAAGATTTTTTTTAAAAATAATGTCCCGACATTATCGTTATAAAGAGGTTTGACTGTAATAAAGTTGTGATTCTAGCATAGTGATACCAGCCGTTGGAGTCGGAGTCTGCTAAAACCAAGAGGAGCCGACTCCGGAATTTCAACTTATTTTTTGAAACATTAATTAAATTTGAGATGTTAGTTTAAATAATAAAATTATGGTTGTTAATTTCACACGATTCAGTTGACGGTGAAAAGAACTGACTTCTCCACAGCTGGTACTATTAATTATAGTTGCCTGACGAAACTCCTGGATTTAGACAGCCCGTCGAATGTCGAATAATAAAATCATATAAATAAACCTGTCGACAAATCCAAAATAGTTTTCGTCAGACAACTATACTATTAATGATAAAATTTTTTATCTGCAATAGAAAATGTTATATTTGATGCGTTGAACTAGGCATTAAAGTGAATAAAACCAGAAATGACGAACGATACAAATAATTGTCATAAGCATGAACATGAAGCTGATTTTAAATCATCCTATTATAATGCTCCTTAGGTTTAATAAATGAATTAACTTTTGTTCCGTTGCCCTCCATTTTAATATTCTTGATGTTTTTTTGTTTAAACATTTTTTCACAATATGTGTTGAAGCTGCTCAAACTCATCAAAAAATAAAATAAAAAATCCTAGTAATAACTTCAAATCAAAAAATGACGATTTATTTGGTCCCAACTGTAAAACTCAAATGTATTACGCCTCAAAAGTTTCACAATACTATTCCACATAATAAAACGTAGAGGAATTACCGAGATTGTTTCTTGATAAAGTAGCGAAAAAAATTGTTACCAAAGAAAAATCAAATTTTTGAAACCTCCAAAAATACAAACATAACATCCTCTGTTGATGATGAGTAAAAGATGCTTGGTTCCATAATAAATTCAAGAAAAAATTTATCAAATATTGAATTGAGTGTACATGTAATAAATTTATTCAAATTTTTTTTCTTTATAATACATTTGTAAATATACATACTAAAATAAAGTACAATATAAAAAATAATTATTTATATACATCCTAAATAAATAAATTAAAGAAATTGTAAGCTAATGAATTCCCCATTATTTTGTTTAAGTTGTCAATCGCACTTGGATACCCCTGTTTAGCAGATTCTTTATACAGCTCATTTGCTCTTATTTTGTCTTTTTTGACCCCATCTCCATATTCATACATTAAAGCAAGATTATATTGAGCTACTTTATTATTCAATTCCGAAGCCTTTACATATAATTCAAATGCCTTTTTCTTATTGATGCTGGTTCCCTTTCCATTTTTATAACAATATCCTAATATTGTTATTCCATTTGAATAATTACCTTCTGCCGATTCTGCAAATAATTCGAAAGCCTTATGACGATCCCTTTTAACACCAATTCCATTCAGGTAAAGGTTACCAAGATAATATTTTGCAATAATATTCCCCAAATTCGAAGCCTTTTCATACCAATCTACCGCATTCTTTAAATCTTTTACAACACCTATTCCATTATAATAAAAATATCCGATTTTTGATTGTCCCACCGTAAAATTTTTATTGGCCGCTTTTTCGTAATATTCAAAAGCTGCAGTTTTATCTTCGTTGATGCCATAGCCATCTTCATAACATTTCCCAACATAAATTAGTGCTAAATCATGTTCTTCAATACTCATGAATGACTCGTATGCCTTCTTATAATTTTCGCTTGTTTCAATTCCAAAAAAATTAAAATATCCAAGTAAAAAAATCGAATTTGAATCCTTATGATTCCTTGTAAGCCAATTATAAATTTGTCGAGGTGAAAATTTTTGACGGCTAAAAAAATCAAGAGCTGGTTTCTTATCTAGTATAAAAGCTTTTCCTTCATTTAGTTCCTTAAAAATAAAATCAACTATTTCATCAACCACTTTGCTTAAATCCTCTTCAGAAAAATATTCAATCAAATCATTTGTATCCATCTGATCAAAAATTTCATAAAGTTGAGTCATTTGCCCACGAAATGAATTATTAATTGAAGAATCGATAGTATTATTCGAATTAGGTGAAGATCCATAATTACCGACTGGATCGTCTACCGTTATTGAATCCTCTATCTTTGTCTTTATTCGTTTTAATTCATCAACTAATTGTTTCATTGTTGGACGTTTGTCTGGTTCAAAATCCCAGCACTCTAAAAAAAAATTTATATATCAAAAAAATCAATCCTTCCTTATTGCATCATCAACGAGGCATATAGTAAACTTACTAGTATAAACTTTTACATAATCTTCGGGCGTGCCGGGAATTAACTTCTCTCTGAGACCTTCCACAATATTAGTAATTAAATCAAAATCGTAGGGTTCATCTTCATCGAAAAATGGGGGGATACCACTCGAAAGCTCCCATAAAAGTATGCCTACGCTATAGACATCACTCTTCTCATTTAGTACATATGGTAGTAATACGTTATTTTCACTTCTTCGTCTTTTGAACCTTTTCGGATCGATATAAGGAACTATACCAAAAATTTTTGATTGATTTTTAGACTTTTCTTCAATCCTTTTTGATAACCCAAAATCGGCCAGTTTAATACAATTTTGATGAACTAATATATTCCTGGAATGCTATTATAATAGTATTGAAATTCAATATTTATATAATATTTTTTTAATCAAAGCATACATACAGTATATAAAACTTACCAAATCTCGATGCACAATACCCTCATCATGTAAGCATGACACGGCACAAGCTAACTGGTATGCCAAGTCGTACTTGTTCTCCCAAGTAAGATTAACGAAATGATTTTTCAAATAGTTTCGAAGCGTGCCACCATCAGCATACTCCATTACCAACATATATACTTTTTGACTCTCTAATAAATATATATAACACATTAATTTTAACTCGTATCATAGCAAAGTCGAGAGAAATGTTATTAAAATATTAAAATTATTTTTTTTTTTTTTTGTACCTTTGATTATTGTAGTAATCCCATAAAAACGAATTATATTTTGATGATAATCAACTTCACATTGAACTTTAAGCTAAATAATAAATATAAAATTTTACTAGATATATAAATAATTCTATATTAAACCGAATGAAAATATCAAAGATAATTTACCTCTTGAACAAGTTCTTTAACCTTGACACTGTCAAAGTTAAAAAAATATTTCAAAGCGAAAGGCAGTTCCGAGCTTTTGTAATTAGCACGGTAAACTTTTCCGAACCCACCAGTACCAATTTCTTTAAGATTGCTAAAGTCTTTGTAATCATAGTGTTTAATATGGTTATTTGAAATAGATTCTTCAAGCCATTCTTTTGAATTGTGCATTTTGAAATTTTCCATATTTTTTGACACAGGTGGTGACTGATGTTTAATATACCGTAAATATGGTGTCATGTGGTGTGGGTAGGTCATGGGAATAAGTTATTGTTTTACCATATGCGTATTTACCGTATCTTTGTGCGAGTAAAAAACAAAAATAAAAAATTTTATATAGTGCCAGCCGAAGATTAAATAACTTTTTAGTTGAAAAGATGGCGGGCGATCTCTATTTTTCGGATTACAGAATAAAATCATCGTATTAGTGGTTCGATTCAATCAAATAAATGTTTTTGTGATTGAATAATTTGTTAGGAGCATATCAATCGACACGTTACCTTACCTTTTTAATTTTTGCCCAACATACTACAAAGATGGAATTTGCTTTTATTTTTTTTTAAAAAAAAACACGAGGTCGATTATAAGAACACAAACACGAGTGTCGTAATACAATGGGTTGTGGCGTTACGTGTAATTCCAGCCAGGTTGTTAACTTGTTAACTTATGGGATTGTGAAATTCAAAAAAAAAAATGTATTTTAATTGTCATTCTAAGATATTTCAAATAAGATGTTTATATGTTTAATTTTATTAATTTTTTTTTCGATTATCAGCAAGACAAGATTACAATTTATTTTTAAATTTGTAACATTATGTATGCTTCTTGCATATCTTTGTTATAACAATATCAGAAATTTAAAAATATCAAGAATATACAGTATACTGCCTTTTTATGATTTGTTAATTAATAAACATAAGTAGTATATTTTGGGAGAATTTCATATAATCTATCGGTTACTTGATTAATCAGTGGACGATTATCTGGTTCATTATCCCAGCACTCTATTATAAAAAAAAAAAAAAAAATTTAATAATTAAAAACATATCAAAACATATTATTCATATTTATATATTTACCGGAATAAATCTTTGCATAACCTTCAGGTGTACCAGGGATGATCGTTTCTCTAAGACCTTTTGCAATTATTATGACTAAATCCATGTCGTATGGTATTCCTTCGAAATAAAAAGGACGACGTCCACTTGAAATCTCCCATAAGAGAACACCAACACTATAAACATCACTCTTATAATCCAATGATGTCGTTTCATTATTTCTTAGTTTAAATAATTTTGGATCAGTGTAAGGAATTAAATTTAACGGTCTTTTCATTCCGTTCGATAATCCAAAATCAGCTAGTTTAATACTTCCTTGATGTATTAAGATATTGCCGGAATGCTGTTAGATAAATAATTCAATCATTAATTATTTCAACTGCAATATCCTAATTAAACAAAATAAAATCTTTGTCATGATCATTACCAAATTACTATGCACAATTCCTTGGCCATGTAAACATGATACGGCACTGGTTAACTGAAATGCCAAGAGGCATTTATTTACCCATTCAAGTCTATTAAAATTGTTCTTCAAATAGTTTTCAAGTGACCCGCCATCAGCATATTCCATTACCAACCAAAATTTTTTTCTTTGATCATTTTGGTTTTCTAAAAATTTTATTTTTATTATTTTTAAAAAATGATTATATAAATGGAATGAAAATTATATACAAATGAGATTCATTCATCTTATTATACCTTGATTTTCGGTTGAAATCCCATAAAAATTGATCATCTTATCAAGAAAATTTACTTCACGACGAAGTTTAAACTAATTTTAAATATACAATTTTACCTTGATAAGTAAACAATTTGTCCCGAAATTCATTATAACTCGTTAATTACCTCATGAATAAGTTCTTTGACAGTGTCATTATTAAAGAAATACGATTTTAACGCAAAACATTGACTTGAATTGTCATAATTTGCACGATAGACATTTCCAGAGACGCCAGTACCAATCTCTTGAATATTGCTAAATTTTTTGACATCGTAGTATTTAATATGTTCACTTGAAATAGACTCTTCTATCCATTTAATCCACTCATTTGAATTACTGGAAGTTTGCATTTTTGAACGAAACGAGTTGAATAGAAAGAAATGCCACTTAAATCATTGTATAACATGTAACGTTCACAAAAACTGTTCTGTCTGTATCACTGTAGTACGCTCCAATGAATTGCGTCATTCAATTTTGAAAATCCGTTACAACTTAACGTTATACATTAATTTTTAGGGAAACGTGAAAAATAAATATACAAAGGAAATCGGCTCTAGGATTTTTTACTTTGCTTTTTATTTGCTAATTTCATAATATTTAAATAAACCATATTACGTAAATTATAACGTAATCGGACTAAATCAAATTTAGATTTAAAATAAAGCCATCATCAGAGAAAAATAATTATTAGTAATATCGTCAGACATTAATAAAAAAAAAATGTAACCAATCATATTAAAAAGTAATTTTTTGATTGATCGGTCGTTACAGCTAAAATATTTAGATTTTATATAAAAATTTATGGATTTGGAGTTTTGGAATAATTGAACGAAAGGTAGTTAAATTTGAGTTGGACATTTTTATTTCAAAAATCGCGTTAAAAGATCTGTTAATTGATCGACATATCATTAATTTCCGATCCGATCTACAATTGAACAGGGTTAAATTGATCTTCGAATTAATATTTGATAGACAATGCCTTTACATATATACAAAGTATTAGAAATTGTGTCTATAAAATAACAAAATTTGATAAATTAAAATTAAATAAAATTAATTATTACTTTAATCTTTAGAAAATTTTAAAAAAATTGATATGTTAATATAAACGCTAATATTAGTTAAATATTTATTATATTAAGGTAATTTAATTAATTACAATTATCTTCACACTTCAATTACTACTGATAATTTTTACATTTTGCCAATTTTAACTTTTATTAATAAAGCTAATAAATTGATATAATTATTAAATGAATGATTTACTTCTTATTCTAATAATAAAATATAATTTTTTTAAAAAATTCTTATAAATTAATAAATTATAATAAAAATTCTAATTTCTATCTAATTGCCTCATGCTTTTACCACTTTTAAATCCCTATCTTCTAAATTTAACATTTTCTGATTAAATTTTTAAATAAAAATCTTATTTAATATTTTAAAATATCTATACATTTGATACTAAATATAATATCTTAGACTAGCCTTTCTAATAGAGATTATCCCTAAATCTTAATGTATTAATATTAATCTTAGTGATATAAACCAAAAATTATACAAAATTTTAAAATAGCAATAGGCTTTATATGTAAAAAACTTTAATACTTCAAAAAAGCATTTTAGTCAAATTATGATATATTTATAAATTATTTTATATAATAAAATTAATCTAACATCCCATTATCCTTCAACTTTAATATTAATCAAATAACTCATCCTTTATTTTTACTTATCACTATTATAAAAAGCCTTTATAAGATTTACATTTCCTTTTCAATTACTTATGTTAAATAAAATTCTATCCTTACCTATATAAGAGAAACCTATTTATCTTCAGTTTTTTTTTATACAACTTTTTTAAATAATTCCTTAATATAAACTTTTTACAGAATATTATACACTATGAAAAACTCTCATATTTCAAGATATTTTTAAAAAAAAGAAGGATTAAATAATTATATTCTATCTTACAATTTTTAAATATGCTAATATTTAATTGATTCAAAACAATTTAAAATTCTATAATCAGTTTTAACAAAATTTTAATAATAGTTTAATAAAGTTTTATCATAGTTTTTCAGTTTTAGTATTTATTATAATATTTCATTATTTTACTATTTCACTATAATTTTAATATAAGTAATTATAAGATTTTAATATAGTTTTATCAAACATTTAGTATTTTAGCATTTTGGCAAATAAAAATTCCTTTAGTTTCTCTAGTAATCTAAATAATATTCATACTATTAACTCATTTATCAATATACTTTTTTCTTATTACTAATGAAATAAACTTAATTTTTACTAAATAATAACTTATCATAAAATATAAAATTTTTGTAATAGAAAATAGAAAATTATTAGAAAATTAAATATAAAGATATGCTAAATCTAAACATATTTTAGCTTAAAAATCATATATAATATATAAGAATAAAATTTTCTATATAATGATTTGTTTAAAAAAATCATAACAAATTTTGTTAAATGATTTATTATAAATTTCGTTATACAATTTTGATTAAATAAATTATTAAAAACTTGTTATAATAAATCATTATACAAATTTTATTTAAACAAATCTATTGAATAAATCATAACTTAAATCATTAAACAATTCATTACAAAATTCGTATAACTAATCATAATAAATTTTATTATAATAATCCATTAAAAATTCTTTACAAGGAATCATAATAAAATTCATAATAATGATTCATTAAGAATTTTATTAATGAATTGAATGAAATTCGTCTAACAATGACAAATTTCACATTTAAAGGCAATTTTTATTATTTCAAAAATGAATTTTACATTTAAAAGTGAAACTTCATCAATTTGAAAACGAATTTCATTTCAAAAGTAAATTTCACCAATTCAAGACGAATTTTATCGATTTGAAATAAATATTATATTTAATGATAATTTTCATTTTTTATTAACTTTTTATTATTATTTGTTTACTATTATATTAATTTTATGTTTCATAGTAAAACATAAAACATATATATTTATCCTTTTTAAAAAATTGAAATCACCCTTTTTTCTTTCTTTTTTTTTTTAAAAAAAACGCTTTTCTCTCAGTTTTTACTAATATTTTTCTTTTTTTAATAGAAATAGATTTTTTACTATTATTTAAAGTAAGTCTATAAATCAGAATAATGTTTATTTAGATTTTTAGTAATTTTTCTTTTTTAATAAGATGAATTTTTTTTATTTATTAGCTAAAGTATGTTACAAATCATGACTCTTTTAATAATTAGTTATTTTTTGGATTTTTATTAATTTTTTTCTTTAATAGAAGTGGATTTTTTTTGCTATTGATTAAGATAAGTCTACAAATCAGAATAGTCATTTTTTAGATTTTTACTAATTTTTTTTTTTGTAGAAGTAAACTTTTTTTGTTATTAATTAAGATGAATCTACAAATCAAAATAGTTGTTTTTTAGATTTTTATTAATTTTTTTCTTTTTTTAATAAAAATAGATAATTTTTGCTATTGATTAAGATAAGTCTACAAATTGTGATAATTATTTTTTTGATTTTTACTAATTTTTCTTTTTTTATTAAAAGTAGAATTTTCTTGCTTACTAGTTAAGATATACTACATAGGATTCTTTTGATGTTATTTTTTGAATTTTATTAAATTTTTTTTATTTTTTAATAAAAATTGACTTTTCTTGTTATTGGTTAAGATAAGTCTACAAATCAGGACTCTTTTAATGATATTTTGTCAGGTTTTTACTAATTTTTTCTTTTTTAATTAGAGTAGACTTTTTTTCTTATCAAATATAGTAAATAATTAAATTAATAAATTTGTAACAACTAGAACCTTTATTATTTAAATGTACTTTTCTTATAATTAAATATATTATATTAATGTAAATCATATCAATAATAAAAATTCTTTTTATTATAATTAATTGGAATTACATACTTGTATAAAATAAACAATTATAAAATTATTTGTATTATAAAAATTTGATAAAAGATTACCAATTGAAATATGCTATTTATATAATATTGATTTAATAAAAAACAATAAGAATATTGCAAGGATCAGCGTCCTTAGCTCAGTGGTTAAACTGTAAGTCTCCTATAAGCTAAAATTTCATTACACAGCGATAGGTCATCAGTTTAGATATCGGCCGATACATAAAACTAGATGATTGTTATAAGAATTTTATATGTAAGCATATGTACTAATATGCGTACAAATCTGGTTGATTGATTTATCGATCAACATTAATCATGCCTAAATACTGCATGGTATTAGAACATGCAGATGCAAATGAAGCTTGAATCGACAGAATCTTGGCCTTCGCTGATTGGTCTGTAATAAATATAATCTTATATCTTACCCAGTAGGAGTCCTTATTTCTGTATATAATCATAAGATTGTATATAAATTAAAGAAGTGATTGACCAGTATTTAGTAGATTATATTATTAATGATAATAGACAGCATTGCACGTCGCAGCATCGACTAATCAACATATCATTAGGATTAGAAGCCAGGTTTGATTTCTGGGTTATTTGACGAAATGGTACAATGGTCACCTAATTTAATTCAATATTTTGGCAAATCTTATGGTAACATCCTACGAACCTTACGGTATTAGTTGGGTAACATATAGGTGGTGATGCTCCTATACAATCAGAAGTGATTCCTCTGTTCATATTTGATATGAACTTAGCCAAGCTGGTATATTTTACTAGTAAGAACCTTAACCAAAAGATGGCATTAGATAGGGTAATGCAAGCAGACAATTACCTTATCCTGAACTGTGATGTTGAGACCGCTAGAAGGTGGCCTGTGATATTCAGCCTCATGAGGTTTGACCTTACCCCTAAATACTTTTTCTCTACTTCATGCACTATTAACAAAAAAAAAATAAGAATATTCCTATTGATGACTTAAGAATAACCCAATTGAAAGCTAAATGTTAATAAATTAATATCAATAAGAATAACTCTATTGATATCTTTATAACATCCTGATTAAATCCTAATATATCCTATCTGTATCATTATTCATCATTAATTAGGATTACTTGATTCTAAAAATAAAAAAATAAGGGACTAATTAGATCAAATCTAACAAACCAAATTTGATCTAATTGGTCTCCTATTTGTTATAGTTTGATTAGTATTTTTAGTTATTCTATATTATTTACAAATTAAATACCCATATAAATACTTATATAAATACTCATAATATTACTGAAAAAATCCATCTAGTATGGCGAATGATATGATATCAAACCATCTTATATATTTACTTCTATAAAAATATATTACCATTATATTACTCAATCATATTATATGTAATTCTTCAAGTATATAAAATTTCTCAACACTAATTCCCATAATATAATCCCTAATTGATAAAAATTAAAATTAATGATAAAGTGATAAAGTATAAATTTTAGTAATATTATTTCTCTGAATATTTTGAAAAATACTTTATTACAATCTTTCAATAAGTTTCTTATGATTATATCATCAAATTATCATTGTCAGAAATTATTTCCTTAAGATTGAGATTTATTTATTTATTGAATATTTCCATCAAAAAATAAAATAAACAAAATTTATTGAAATTCCTTTTATCATTTCAGATTTTTTTGATTAACCTATAAAGAACTACAAATTTGCAACTACTAATCATTCGACTGAATAATAAATTACTGAATCTTTAGATAGAATATCTCACAAATATCTCATATTTTATAATTACTATTAAAATCTTACTTATCACTTTTTCTAAAAATATTATATTTTTGAATTACTGTTAGATCAATATCATATATTGTAGATTATTTCTATTTATATAAAACTGAATAATAAAACCAAGTGATCATACTATTTCAAAATCAGATAATTTATAACATCTACTTGTATTATAAAAATTAATTTTTAATTTTTATAAAGCATCAATTTTAAATAATCTCTATAATGTGATAACTAATATTTTAATAATGTTTAAATCAAAATTAACTGTAATCAAATCCAGTAAGATTATCATATCATATACCTAAATAATTTATTCATAAAATAAGAAATATATATAAAACTATAGCATCATCATGAATATTGATCAATTAAACTATTTGTTTAAGTAGCATTCTCTGTAAAGTTTCTATAGTAAATATTAATAACTACAATAAACTCATTACTTCAAGTTAAATAGTTCTTTATTCTAAAATTTAAGCATCTTCTAAATGAATAATTGCAATTACAAATGTATCATTAGAGTCTTCTAGTGATAAAATATCTAGTTAATTATTATTTTTGTTAGGGGTATTTCTGAATTTGATATTCATCTATAACAGAGTGATTATTTGATCATTACTTGATATTGTAATAATATGAAAACAAAGAGATTTCCTCTAAATTAAAGATGTTCTTTGATTGGGTTTTTCTGATTAATGTAGATAGTGATTGTTAAACTCATAGGAAAGATTATGAAAATTTTTATTAGACATAAAAGTATTATTCCTAATTTATAATTGCAAATTATTTTGATTCTCGGTTTCTGATCCTTTTTTAAAGCATAATCGTCTTAAAAAAAAATGGAGAAAGATCTTATTCAAATTGATTATTTTTAATGATATACATACTATATATGATAAATGTAAGATCAACTATAATGGTCACGGGACCTTATTTTCGGAGGAATACGGTAAGGAGATATAGAGATTTATAAGTAGTTCTGAAAAAAAAAAATCGAATTAGATCTTTACTTCATCTTACCAGTAATTTACTTCAAGAGGTAAGTATCTTTATTTAAATTGTTTCTGTTGAATCTAATTATTCTAATGATTTTTGTTTTCAAAAAAGTTCAATAATATTTTTGGAGAACTTGTAATAGTTTGGCGTTTGGCAAAGCTTCATACTTTATATTTATGAAAAAATAAACCCGCATACGCTGAAGGTCTTGATAATGCCGTTAGCATGTGGAAGCATCGCTAAATCTGATCAAGGTCATTTATTTGCAACAGGAACATTTAAGGTTTGTCATATTTAATTTTTTTTTTATTGGTTTTAATACATATTGAGTTTCATATTTATCTTATATGAAATAAAATTTGCAAAAGATGGGAGTTATCCATTTAGAACAACCAATTTTTACGAAGCTCAACCATCAACTTCGTCTGTTTCTCCCCGGGACTCTGCAAAACGTTTTAAGGTGCCAAGGTCATGTAAGAAATCTACCGCCTTCTGTCTTGGAAGAAAAGCTTCAGATGTAGTTCAATCTAGGATCAATTTAGTTGGTAATAGTAAAAGTCATTGGACTTATCAACGAGACATATGCATCAAAACAAGCTATCGTTTCTCCTGTGAAGTATTATCATGTAATCTTAAAATTTAAAATTTTAATGTTAGCCTACTAAGAAGTGTCACTATATTGGTAAATAACATTGTACGTCCAAAGCCGAAAACTCAAGAGTATGATACTGAAAACTTGTGTATCGTTAAAAATTTAGGATGGATGAATCAAAATATCGAAAATTTATGTTTCTGATATTTTAAAAAATCTATATTAAATAAATCTAAATTAAATAAAATAAAATTATTTTTTTATTATATAATTTTAATTATATAAAATTATGTTTTAATTAGACTTTACTATAATATAAATTTAAAATCTAGATTTAATATATTTATTAATAATAATACTTTTGACAGTTGCGGCAGGTTGGGGTAAAGCATAAATTTTTAAATTACTCAACTAAATTAATTGGAAATTTTGTTAGTGTGTTCGAAATTCTTATGCCACCATTCAACCTCCCCTCATGGAAGACATGATTCATCGTCGTCATTCTTCCTAACTTAATCGTTCTATAGAGGAACATTTAAATTGCATTATTATTTTTTCCGGCAGTTTCCCCTTTCTATTGCAAAGGGTCATGTACGATTCAATTCTGCCTAACCCGCTCGAGTAATAACAGAACCAGTTCTGTCAAGTTTAATTATAACTAAATTCCAAAGTTAATGATCTTTTTATTATAATTTAATAAAATCTCATGAATATTTAAAGTATGATAAAAAATCTAATGAAAAAAAGTGACTAAAATTTATAAAGATTTGTCAAAAGTAAAAATATTATGAGAATTATACAAGTTTATACATGAAAATAATTGAAGTTAAAAAAATTTAACTTTTTGTTTACCAAGAACATACATTACTTTTCTTCAAATTCATTTTTACTCATTTCATCATGATTTCTTTTCAAGTTATAATTCTGTTGCAAAACATTGGTTTCATTACCTGTCGATTTCTCACTTTCAACTTCCATAAATTCTTGAGTAATATTCATGGGTTCTTGAGATTCGTTCGCAGTTTCGTCAATATCTTTCGTTCGTTTAACTTTTTTTATTGGCTTTTGAATTTCGTCAATTTTTTTGGTTTTTTCCAAAGTTTTGAAATCGTATTCCATGATTTTTCGAAATGACATTGGAAGTCCGTAGACTTTATTTGTCTTCTTTTTTTCAACATTTGTTTTTTCGACTTCTTTTGATACCTTTGGAGCTTGATAGGATTTTTTTGTTTCTAAATTGGTTTTATCAACTTCCATGATTTCTTTTTGTACCTCTGGAATTTCTTTCGTTTGTTCCATAACAACATTATTATTACCAACTTCTTCCTTTATTTCTTGGTCTGTACTTAAATTTGGTAAAGAGAATCCTGACTTTGCCAGCCAATCTGCAGAACGATAGTTAAGATGTAACACGGCTATGGGGTTCCAATCAACAATTCTTGTCACAGTGGACGGTGGAATTTTTGCATCCATGACATCAAACCCAGTGATGTAACCAATATCCATATTCTTATTCTCAGCCTCTGTAATCTTTACTGGTTTGACTTCGAATTCTGGTTTATTTAGTAAAGCACTTTCGTCAACAATAATCCCTTTGAAAAAACAAACTGTAATAGTTCCGGGTTTCCCATATAATTTTTGATTATGGTTTTGCTTATTTGGTTGTTTATTAACTGGAAAAGGGACTTTGAATACACCATCATCTTTTTTATCAAATTCAGATGTGCTGGCGAATTTAAAGAAATAAGCTTTATTTCTTTCATAATTAACGAAGTACGATCTTAATCTTGAGCTTTGTTGTTGGTGAAGATGATGGACTTGATCAAATTGTCCATCAATATATAAACGTGAAATTATAATTTCGGACGGGTCAGTTGGTGTGGTTTCCATTCTAATTGTATAGTGTTCTCCCGGGTTCGTAACTGGAATATATGTTGTAAAATTGCTTTAAAAAATGAAATGATGAAATGATGGTAAATATCATTAATTCCTTTTTTTAAAAAAAGATATATATTTAATATATTTTTAAAAAATGTAACTTACTTGTATTGTTCTTTTTGTGTTGATGGATCCGTAACATAAGAAACACATGTATTATTCAACTATTTATAATACAATTAATGTGAATTTCATGCAATTTTTTTTTTGGTGAAAAAATTTGATAAATTAATTAATTTTCTAAACAAACATTTGATTCATCAACCGGAAGATTATATTCTGGTAAAGGTCGTTCATTTACCAAAACCTCAAGGTAAAAGTCTTTAAAATGCATATTGTTTTCCTGCGTACCATGAAATAAGTTTTTAATGTCAGGTTCATTTATCCTAAAGAGAATACAATTACTAAAATCAGTATAATAAAATGTATGGCTTACCAGATGTTAAATTTAAAGGTAAAATAAATTTAAAAGCCTTTTCTTGAGTTTTGAAAGTTAATTTAAAATAAAGAAACTCCGATTTATAAGTTTGCATAAAAAAATGCCCACAAGCACATGATCGTTTATTTTGTCGATCATTAATAAAATAATCAAGCCAAAATGAAATTTTTTGAATGTCGCGTTGTTTGGTTTTTTCATTTAAAAAGAGCACGAATGTCGGGGGATAAAAGATATAAAATATATATCTACTCTTTCTTTAGACCATATATATATGATCTTGGCAAAATGATCGGCGTGGTAGTATAAAAACCGAGGGTTAAACGTCCGAAGTGTCCGTTAAGTTTGAAATCAATTCTTCCAAATTTGATGAATTTTATTCAATTCTTGTAATGGATTTCATTAATTGGATCAATAACTTCCAAATATAATAAACATTAACTTGCTTGATATAAAAAATGATTGTTTCGAACTTATAAAAATGGTAAAATATATATTAAAACTTAATAAAAATTAACATCAAAAAATTTTTAGTAATAATTTTTATATTACATAAGTTTTTAATAATATATCTATTATACCAAAAATAAAGTCTTTAAAATTTATCCAAATAATAATCACAATAAAAAATAGCATTATTATTACATAAAATCCATCTCGTCAAATTCATTTACTCATTTCATCATGACTTCTTTTCAAGTTATTATTCTGTTATAAAATGTTGGTTTCATTAACTGTTGATTTCTCTTGAGTAATTTCTCTATATTCGTTCGCAGGTCCGTAATATTCCTGGAAATTTCCAACATGGGTTCTTTGATAGATTTTTTTGTTTCTACATTGGTGTTATCAGTTTCTTTTTGTACCTCCGGAATTTCTTTACTTAAAATTGGTAAAGAAGATCCTATTTTGCCAGCCAATCTGCAGAACGATAGTTAATATGTAACGCAGCTATGGGGTTCCAATCAACAATTTTGCCAGTGTGAACGGTGTAATATTTACATCCATGACATTAAATCCAGTGATGTAACCAATATCCATTTTCCTATTATCAGCCTCTGTAATCGTTACTTTTTTGCCTTGGAATTCTGGATTATTCAGTAAAGCACTTTCGTCAACAACAATCTCTTTGGAAAAAAAAAACTATAATAGTCCTGTGTTTCCCATATATATTTTGGTTTAGAGTTTGCTGATTGGGATGTTTATTAACAGAATAAGGGACTTTGAATATACCATCTTTTATATCAAATTGAGATGTGCCGGCGAAATAGTAAAAAACATTAGTTTTTTCTTTATTTGCGAAGTACGATCTTAATCTTGAGCTCGACCATCTATATAACAACGCGAAATAATAATGTTGGACACGTTAATTGGTTTGGCTTCAGTTCTAATTGTATGTGTCGTAACTGGAATATGTAACATTACTTTGAAGATGAAAAGGTGAAAAGTTGGTAAATATCATTATTTTTTTTTAAAAGTTATTACATATATATATATATATTTACAAAAATAACTTACCTATATTTCTCTTTTTGTGTTAATGGGTCCGTAACATAAGAAACGCATTATATTATTTAACTATTTATAATGCAATTAATATGTATTGCATTTTTTTTTTTTTTGTGAAGAAAAATAATAAATTTTCTCGTTAAAAAAAGAAATATATAAACACTTTATTGAAAACTTACATTAGATTTATCAACCAGAAGATTGTATTTGCCCATTTACCCAAGGTGAAAGTTTAGTAATTGCATTTTGTTTTTCTGAAATATGTCAGGAAAGACGATATTCATTTACCTTAAAGAGGATAGTTACTAAATTTAGTATAATAAAAACATATATGTATGGCTTACCCGAATGTAAATTTTAAAGATAAAATTTCTTTAAAGAGGTTTATCTTGAGTTATCTAAAATAATAAGGCGCGTGGTTGCAAAAAAGTATGAATAGCCAGTACGCGTGACTTTTGCATTTAGTACGACAGAGGGTTCGGGGATCCTAAGACCGATCCTGAAATCGGACTTATACCGTTACACTGATTTCGAAAATTCCCGAAAAACCATATTTTTCGTAATTACTAATCCACTTGATGATTTAAACAGTTTTGTATAGATCTCCACAATTAAAATCAAAAATACGAAAAATAACTTTCAATAAACACGGTTCTGTCAATAACTCTCATTCCTAAACAAACCCCACTTTTTTTACAGAACAAGATCACCTACCAAAGTGCAAGTAAAATCCAAGAGACGTATGACGTCTCAGTTGAAACATTGCGATGATGGGCCAACTCCAGAAGAATTGCTATTGTCAGTGGAAAATGACTCACGCAAAAGACAAAGATCTGCTACGCCAGAGTCAGTTCTGAAAATCTTCGACAGCACTACTCAGAATATGAAATTGTTGCCCTTCTGGAACGAATACACAAAGGAGAAATTGAGGAAGTGGTGGTTACCCGAAAGGTTTGAATTTTCTTTTTATTTACTTTGATTTATTGCCTTTATTTTACTAACTTTTTTATTAGGACTGATTGTGTCGATTTGGACTCGAGTTTGTGGAATAAATCTTTGAGAAAAATGGCACTCGGCTCATGGTACTCGGTATGGATGTCAGTGCTGAAATTAGTGAAACTGAAGAACTCGCAGAAGACTTGCTCTCAATCGTCACGGTATTTGTGGCAAGACATAACGGAATGCGTTCTGCTGCCAATCGCAGAAAAAGACGAGAAGCCTAAGCCCAAGAAGATCAAGACACCGGCAGGCAAAACACAGCGTATCCGTCTCTTTCCTACGCAAGAAGAGAAATTGAAACTCAAACGCTGGATGGGAACAGCACGATGGACTTACAATCAGTATCTCGTAGCAGTCGAAAAAGAGGGTATCACGCGAACAAAAAAGCTCTGCGAGTACAGTATCTTAATGCCACAAATTTCAATAATACCGAACTTAAATGGGCTCTTGAAACCCCATATGATATTCGCGACGAAGGGATGAATGATCTACTTAAAGCATATTCAACAAATTTTGCTGCAAAACAGACGAAATTTAAGATAAAATTTCGCTCTAAGAAAGATCGACAACAATCTATTGCAGTTCTATCGAAACATTAGGGTAGATCAAAAGGAGTTTATGAATTTCTTTGTAAGATGAAGTCAGCTGAAAATCTTCCAGCAAAGCTCCATTACGATGCACGACTTGTAGTAAATCGGCTTGGAGAATTTTACTTTTGCATTCCTCAACCACTTGATATACAGGCCGAAAATCAAGATCCTACACAATCAGAGGATGCAGTGATCGCTCTAGATCCAGGCGTACGGACATTTATGACTGGATACTATCTAAGTGGACAAGCTATAGAATGGGTAAAAACGATATCAATAGAATTTACCGACTTTGCCACACTTATGACAAAATCTAAAGCAAGTGTGACTCCCTTTATGGCAAAGTACATAAACGAAAATGCTATAAGCTTCGCAAGGTCATGTTTCATATACATAAAAAAATCCGCTGTCTTATTGATGATTGTCATCATAAATTTTCTAGTTGGTTATGTCAAAATTATCATATCATTTTGTTACCTGAATTCAAGACGCAGGAAATGGTTAAGCGTGGAAAACGACAGATCCGTTCTAAGACTGCTCAGATGATGTTAACATGGTCACACTTTCGATTCCGTCAATATCTTCTACATAAAGTTCGTGAACACCTATGATGCCGAGTAATTATATGCACAGAAGAATACACCAGTAAGACGTGTGGGCGCTGTGGACATATCCATAAAAAATTAGGTGGATCCAAGGTGTTCTATTGTCCCAGTTGTAAATCTAAGCTTGATCAGAACATCAATAGTGCTCGTAACATACTTCTTCGCTACCTTACCCTGTTACATTCCAATCAAAACCAAGAGTCGGCTTATGTCAGCACTGGGACCTACCCCTTGGGATCCTCGTGATCCTTGCAAAACATGTATTTCCTTATTAGGCATGATCAGTAATGTGAGGAATATATAGGTTTAATTGTAGACGTTTAGACAACATTCCTTCAAATGGCATAATTTTGCACAAAAAAATGTCTAATGATAAATGATTCAAAATTTTTCATCTGATTCTTTAGCAACAGAACTTCAAAGTTTAATGTATCTTTAGATGCCTAGGAGTTTAAGATTTACAACATAATGTTAAAAAAATGATGATAATTTTAGACAAAACTGGAATTTTTCCATTAAAAATCTTTTAACCTTCATTCTGATGAAGAAAGAATCTTTATTTTTGATGAATTTATGATTGCAGATGAATTTATTTTGATAATAATCATAGAATTACATGAAGAAATCATAAATATGGTATGTATTAAAATTAAATTTAGTGGATCTTAAAAGAATAAATTCTACAACAAAAAATATCTATATTAGAAGCATTTGAATTATTGGATAAGATAATGAATTTTATTGATATTATCTAATAAATGCAGAACTTAAACTTAGATATTTATTAAAAACGAACAATTAACTTATTTTAATAAGAATAGTAAAGTTCAATCTGTATTAAATTTGAATTGTATTTTGTTTTCTAATAAATTACAATTACATAATAATAATAAATCATTTGGTCATGTATAAACGAATTTGGATGACATATAAGTTTATTTAATTTAATATAATAAAACCTTTCTTACTCATATACCATTCTCTAAAAGTTCCTTCAATAAACCCAGGTTGCATAATATGCATACACAGATCTCCAAAAATTCATGTTCTCAATATAAAAAATATGCAATATATGTAGTCAAATATACCGCCAAAAAAATTTTTTTTTCCAGCTCAAATCTGTGATGATTTAGATTCATTTGATTTGCTAAATAAAAATTTTTTTTGTATTAGTAAACGACCTATTTTCTTTAGATTTAATGTATGCTTATACTAATATTAGTAGACTTTGGAAAGTATATCCAACAATTATTGAACCCTTTTATTGCTATGAAGTCCGACGCGATGTAGATTTCTTAATACATTATTCGCTTTCTTGCTTTCTAAATGTACATATTTCGAAGGGAGTTCATTTCTCTAATCATAATAAGTATTAAGTTTCATCCAATTGCATATCATGCATAATATGCATGCATAATAATATGCATACACAGATCTTCAGAAAATCCCAGTATTTCAGGCGATTCTCAATATGCAATATATGTGGTTAAATAAACCCAAAAAAAAAAAAATTTTTAAAAATGTAGACCAACAATCTTTGAAATCTTTTATTACTATGAAGTCCAACGCGCGCGATGTAGATTTTTTATAATAAATATATCGCTTCCGTGCTTTCCAAGAATATAAGAATATATATATATTCACTCATATCTCGAAGGGGCCATTTTTCTAATTATAAGTATTAATAAAAACCCAGGTTGCAATTTATGCATGTAATGCGTGCATAATATGCATACACACAGAAATTCCAGAATTTCGGGTGGTCTCAATCAAATACAAAAAAAAATTTTTTTTTGTCAGCCCCCCATTAAGTAAGTGTTTTACTTCTCGAACTATCGAGTTTGGTCTGATGTCATTTTTTTCCGTGTTAAATCTATAATGATTTAAAAATTTATAAAATATCTGTTTCTTGTAAATTATTTTGTTATTAGTAAACGACCCATTTTCTTTAGATTTAATACTCAATAGATTTACTTTTTCTCAGAAAATTACTTTGGAAAAGTATCACACGCAAATTGGAAAAATGTAGACCAACAATTAGCGTTGAAATCTTTTATTACTATGAAGTCACAACGCGATATAGATTTTCATAATACATTATTCATTCGTTTCCGTGGTTTCCAACAATATATGTAATTCATCAATAACATCAAGTTGCCTGAAATTATTTGGTTTAATTATTTATAGACGAAGAAATAGTAAAAATACACTAATAATGTACATGTACATTGGATGACGGATATGTTTTATTTATTATTAAACAAAAATTTATTACTCATATTTCGAAGAGATGAATCCTAGTTCTTTAATACTATTTCTTTAATTATAAGTATTTACGTTTCAAACCAGTTTGCATATAATGCATGCATAATATGCGTGCAGTTCTCAATATAAAAAAAATATAAAAAAATATGCAATATATGTAGTCAAAATATACCGCCAAAAAATTCCTTTTTTTCCAGCCCAAATCTGTGAAGTATTTAGATTCATATGATTTGCTAAATAAAAATTTTTTTTTTTGTATTAGTAAATGACCTATTTTCTTTAGGTTTAATGTATGCATATACTAATATTAGTAGACTTTGGAAAGTATATCCAACAATTATTGAACCCTTTTATTACTATGAAGTCTGACGCGGTGTAGATTTCTTAATACATTATTCGCTTTCTTGCTTCCAAATGTAAATATTTCGAAGGGAGTTCATTTCTCTAATCATAATAAGTATTAAGTTTCATCCAATTGCATATCATACATGCATAATATGCATGCATAATAATATGCATACACAGATCTTCAGAAAATCCAGTATTTCAGGCGATTCTCAATATAAAAATATCTGCAATATATGTGGTCAAATAAACCCCCCCAAAAAATATTTTTTTAAAAGTGTAGACCAACAATTAGCTTTGAAATCTTTTATTACTATGAAGTCCAACGCGATGTAGATTTTTTATAATAAATATATCGCTTCCGTGCTTCCAAGAATATAAGAATATATATTTACTCATATCTCGAAGGGGTGAATCCTTGTTCCTGTTATACCATTTTTCTAATTATAAGTATTAATAAAAACCCAGGTTGTAATTTATGCATGCATAAATGCGTACATAATATACAAAAAATATGCAATATATGTAGTCAAATAAGCCGCCAAAAAAAAAATTTTTTGTCAGCCCCCATTGTGCGGCTACCCACTGGTAAGTGTTTATTAGTATTTCTCGAACATCGAGATTGGTCTTGTTTTTTTCCGTGTTAAATCTGTGATGATTTAAATTTATAAAATATCTATTTCTTGTAAATTATTTTGTTATTAGTAAACGACCCATATTCTTTAGATTTAACTTATGCCAATACTCAATAGATTTACTTTTTCTCAAAAAATTATTTTGGAAAAAGTATAACACGCAAATTGGAAAAATGTAGACCAACAATTATCGTTGAAATCTTTTATTACTATGAAGTCCCAACGCGATATAGATTTCATAATACATTATTCATTCGTTTCCGTGGTTTTCAACAATATATGTGATTCATCAATCTAACATCAAGTTGCCTGAAATTATTTGGTTTAATTCTTTATAGACGAAGAAATAGTAAAAATCCACACTAATAATGTACATTGGATGATGGATATGTTTTATTTATTATTAAACAAAAATTTATTACTCATATTTCGAAGAGATAAATCCTTGTTTTTTAATACTATTTCTTTAATTATAAGTATTTACGTTTCAAACCAGTTTGCATATTATGCATACATAATATGCGTGCAGTTCTCAATATCAAAAAAAAATATGCAATATATGTAGTCAAAATATACCGCCAAAATATTCCTTTTTTTTTCCAGCCCAATCTTAATAAAATCATTTATGTATGCCTATACCAATGATACTCAGAAAATTACTTTGGATAATGTAGACCTACAATTATTGAAACCTTTTATTACTATAAAGTCCAACGTAATATAGATTGTTATTTTCACATTTCATAATCGCTTCTTTGCTTTCCAAGAATGTTATTCATCATCAATCTAACATCAAATCGCCTGAAATTATTTGGCATAATTCCTTATAGATGAAGAAATAGTAAAAATCCACACAAATAATGTACATCGGATGACAGATACCCATGTTTCGAAGGTTGAATCCTTGTTCCTTATACTATTTCTTTAATTATTAGTATTTAAGTGTCAAACCAGTTTGCATATTGTGCATGCATAATCTGCGTGCAGTTCTCTATAAAAAATATAAAAAAAATATGCAATATATGTAGTCAAAATATACCGCCAAAAAATTCCTTTTTTTCCAGCCCAAATCTTGTGATGGTTTAGATTCATTTGATTTGTTAATAAAATCATTTAACGTATGTCAATACTAATATAATAATGCTCAGAAAATTACTTTGGAAACGTACACTACGCAAATTGGAAAAATGTAGACCAACAATGATTGGAACCTTTTATTACTATGAAGTCCAACGCGATGTATTTTTTTCATTTTCTTAATACATTATTCGCTTCGTGGTTTCCGAGAATATATATGATCTATCTAACATCAAGTTACTTTAAATTATTTGCCATAATTCCTTATAGACTAAAAATATATTAGTAATTCAGAACAAAAAACTACATTGGTGAAAGAAATGTTTTATTTTTATTTAACAAACAGTTTATAATAATATCTTTCTTACTCGTATTTCGAAGATTGCTTCTTTTATAACCATTTCTCTAATTATAAGTATTAAGTTTCAACCCAGCCCTATAAAAAAGTTGATCCTTTTTAGTTTTCCATGTTTTTTCCGTGAAGGGCTCGTATTCACGGAATTTATAATCTTAAATCACGGAAATTTTCATATCTTTTATACAGATTCCGTGAAAGGTTCATTTTCACGGAATTTTACGTAAGCCATGGAGGAATAACGAGCGAAAATTTTTTATAGGGCAGGTTGCATATTATGCATGCATAATATGCTTGCAGTTCTCAATATACGAAAATATAAAAAAAATATGCAATATATGTAGTCAAAATATACCGCCAAAAAATTCCTTTTTTTTCCAGCCCAATTCTTGCGATGATTTGATTTGCTAAATAAAATCATTTGACATATGGGAGGCGGTCAGTAGAAAAGGGGGAAATCTAAATTTTGGTCAAAATTTACCACTTGGCTAATCTCGATCATGTGCACAAATTTGGCTTAATAATAAAAATTAACAAAAATTTTGGATTTCCAGAAAATTACTTTGGAAACGTACCAAAATTGTTGATACCTTTATTACTATGAAGTCCAACGCGATGTAGTTTTTCATTTTCATAATACATTATTCGCTACTTCCAAGAATATTTGTTATTCATCAATCTAACATCAAATTACCTGTAATTATCTGGCATAATTCCTTAATAGGCGAAGCGAAAATTGTACATTGATAACAGAAATATTTTATTTATATTTAACAAAAAGTTTTATAATAATATCTTTTCTTATTCATCTTTCGAAGAGACGAATCCTTGTTTCTTTTATAACATTTCTCTATTTAATAAGTATTAAGTTCCTTCATTAAACCCGGGTTGCATATTATGCGCATTACAAAGATACAGATCTCCAGAAAATCCAAGAGGTCTCAATGTAAGAAATATGCAATATATGTAGGCAAATAAACCGCCAAAAAAAGATTTTTTTTTTTCAGCCCATTTGATTTGCTATTTCTTGTAATTTATTCATTTTCTTTAGATTTAACGTATGCCTATACCAATAATACTCAGTAGATTTACTTTTTCTCGGAAAATAATGGTACTTCGTTATAATAAGTGATTTAAAAATTTATCTTTTCATTCCATGATCGATAATTTGTGAAAAATTGCTTTCTAATTTCTATGAAAATAATAAATAGTTAGTTTCATTTGGTTTGTATAAATCAAAATTTATGTGGACAAATATATGAAAGCGTTCGCGATAACATACTTATTTTAATAAATGGATTGAAATACTTTTATTCGAGTAAAATATAGAAAAATTACAATTGAATTAAAATTAAAATATTTAATTCAAATAAAATTTAATTTGTTACACATAAATCATCTGTTTTCCTTTTATTTATTTTCAAGAGCTTATTTAATCTACTATGAGCCTGTTGATATCCTTGTTCGGCAGATTTCCTATACCAATAAATTGCTTTATCTATGTCTTTATTGATTCCGTTTCCTTCTTTATACATGGTGGCAAGATTAAATTGAGCCATTTCATGATCCAAGTTTGCAGCTTTTTCATATAATACAATTGCTTTTTGGAGATCAATATTAGTTCCAATTCCATATTGATAACAACAACCTAAATTATACATTCCACCTGGATATTCATAATCAGCCGATTGTTTGAATAATTCAAAGGCCTTATAACAATCTTTTTTAACTCCTTTTCCATGATTATAACAAACACCAAGATTAAATATAGCAATCATATTTCCGTTATTTGCAGCTTTTTCATACCAATAAACAGCCATTTTTAAATCTTTTTTAATTCCTGTTCCATCGATATAACACGATCCTATAGGTATTTGTCCAGCTGCGTAATTTTTATTAGCCACCTTTTCATAATAATTAAATGCAAGCTTATCATTTTTTGTAATACCATATCCCTCACTATAACATCTTGCGACATAAAGGTTTGCTAATGTATGATTTTTTTCTGAGGCATTCATAAATAAAGTAAACGCCTTTTCATGATTTTTACTTGTTTCAATTCCAAAGAAATGAAAATATCCAAATAAAAAGATAGAATTTGAATTATTTTGATTATTCGAAAGCCAATTAAGAATTTTAATTTCAATTGAAGTAATACTTTGAATTTCGAAAAAATCAAGGATTATCTTATTACTTAACATTTTATATTCTCCTTTCTCTAATTTCTTAAAAATAAAAGATACTGCTTCATCAACTATTATGCTTATATCCTTTTCCAATAAAATATTTTCACTAATAATTGTATCCGATACTTTCATGGATTCTATGTCTTTCGTATTCATCTGATCAAAATTTTTAATAAAATGAGATAATTCTCCGTTAAATGAATTACTATTATCATGATGTTCATTGATTATATTGTCAAAAACTTCATATTTCTGAGTATCAATTGTCACATTTAATTGAGAAATAATTGATTTCAATCGTTCGACAACTTTACACATAGATGGTCGATTTTCAGGTTTACCGTCCCAACAATCTAAATATAAAAATTTATCAAAATAATGAAAAATTAAATATTATTTTTAAGATCATTAATAATAAGATTTACCAATATAAAGTTTAGCATACTCGTTAGGAGTATTTGGAACAATTGTTTCTCGAAGACCTTGTAAAATTTCCAAAGCTAAACTAACATCATATTGTTCATTTTTTGTATAAAATGGTGGATGTCCACTTGAAATTTCCCATAATAATACACCAACACTATAAACATCACTCTTTTCATCCAATGTACCATTTTTTGTTGGATTAATAATATTATGTCGTCTATTGAACCATTTTGGATCAGTATAAGGAATTACGCCAAATAATTTTGATTGAATATTGGATGCTTCTTTAATTCTTTTCGACAATCCAAAGTCAGCCAACTTGATATTAGAATGATGAACTAATATATTATTGGAGTGCTATCATCAAAGATATTAATAAAATAATTAATAAAAGTGATTATAATTATGTTAATTACATTATTCAAATAAATTACCAAATCACGATGAATAATTCCCTCATCATGCAAACATAAGACAGCGCTAGTTAATTGATATGCCAGCTTGTACTTATCGTCCCAAGTGAGATTATCAAGATTTTCCTTCAAATAATTTCGAAGAGTTCCATTATTTGCATATTCCATCACTAATAAATAAGACTTCAATTGATTATTTTGATTTTCTGAAAATAATAAGAGATAATTAATTTTAATAATTTATAAGTGATATAACAAATAATAATTTCGATTTGCACCTGGTTCAAATTTTGTTATTCCATGGAAGCGAATAACGTTATCATGAAAATCTACTTCACGTTGAAGTTTAAGCTACATTAAAGAATAAAATATCAGTATATATTATAGCGACTAAAGATGAATTAAATTTTAATTACTTCATAAATTATTTCTTTTACGGTGGTTTCATTGAGATTAAAAAATGACTTCAACGCCAATTGTTGGTCTAGATTTTTCCAATTTGCCCGATATATTTTTCCAAATCCACCCTGACCAATTTCTTTAATATTACAAAAATGAGCATACTCGTAATATTTAATATGCTTTTTATCAATTGCTTCATTAATCCATTTTGTTGAATCGAATGTGTTTTGCATTTTCACAACAATGTTAACGAGAAAGAAATTACGTCGATCATGTAATGTTGCTCGAATTTTTAAGCCACCGAGTTTTACTGCTTGAGTGTCTACGCAATGATCCATTTTATACTAACACATTATTTGGTTATTCAGTTTTCTTAATCTATAACCTTGCTTAGGGTCCGATTAAATTCTTTTTTCCACTAATTACAATAAATGATGAAACAAGTGTTCTGAGCTAGCCAGGTTATTTGACCCGAATAAAGTTCTGAAATATCATGAATTTTTTTTTTAACGAAATTTCTTATCGCTTTTAGCTAAGCCGAGTCTCGAATTCAAGGATTTCAAAAAGATACATTATCTCCAATTAACTCCTATAAACAATGCATAAATATTAGTTATCCAATGATCCTTTATTTACAATTAATTACATTGTAGATTTTATTTTTTTTTTATTAAAAATTATAAATAAATTATCCAATTTATATATATAACTTAGTTCGTTACAAACATTTGTCGATTTGTATCGGATCACTATAGAAATGATTATTATCAAGTTATTAGATTCTGTGATAATAAAACTATTAAAATTATCAGCATACTGTGAAAAAATCATACATGTATTAATTTTTAAAGCATACATGCATAAAAAAAAAGAACAGGCGTCTGAGGCGCCGAAGTCCGAGGTTCAACCCCGGATTATTTTTGGATGATATCATTTTTTTGTGCCGGGATGCTACTATTTTTTCGTCTATAAGGGAATCATGCCAAATAATTTCAGCCAATTTGACGTTATATTGATTAATTATATATATATTCATTCTTGGAAACCACGGAAACGAATATGTATTAAGAAAATTTGCATCGCGTTGGACTTCATAGTAATAAAAAGTTTTAATAATTGTTGGAAACACTTTCAAAGTAATTTTCTGAAAAAAGTATTATTAGTATAGGCATACATTAATCTAAAGAAAATGGTCGTTTACTAATACAATAAATTACAATAAATTGATTTTTAGCAAACCAAATGAATCTACAGATATGGGCTGGAAAAAAAAGGAATATTTTGGCGGTATATTTTGACTACATATATTGCATATTTTTGTATATTGAGAACTGCACACATATTATGCATGCATAATATGCAAACTGGTTTGAAACTTAAATACTTATAATTAAAGAATAGTATTAAAGAACAAGGTCTCATCTCTTCGTAACAAACTTTTTTTAATAATAAATAAACATATCTGTCATCCAATGTACATTATTTGTGTGGATTTTTACTATTTCTTCGTCTATAAGGAATTAAGCCAAATAATTTCAGGCAACTTGATGTTAGATTGATGAATTAAATATTCTTGGAAACCACGGAAACGAATGAATGTATTATGAAAATCTACATCGCGTTGGGGCTTCATAGTAATAAAAGATTTCAACGATAATTGTTGGTCTACATTTTTCCAATTTGCGTGTTATACTTTTTCCAAAATAATTTTCTGAGAAAAAGTAAATCTATTGAGTATTGGCATAAGTTAAATCTAAAGAAAATGGGTCGTTTACTAATAGCAAAATAATTACAAGAAATAGATTTAAATCATCACAGATTTAACACGGAAAAAAACAACATCAGACCAACTTACCAGTGGGTAGCCGCACAATGGGGGATGACAAAAAAAAATTTTTTTTTTGGCGGCTTATTTGACTACATATATTGCATATTTTTTATAAAATATTTTTTGGGGGGTTTATTTGACTACATAAGTTGCAGATATTTTTATATTGAGAATCGCCTGAAATACTGGATTTTCTGAAGATCTGTGTATGCATATGCAATTGGATGAAACTTAATACTGGAGAAATGAACTCCCTTCGAAATATGAGTAAATATACATTTGGAAAGCAAGAAAGCGAATAATGTATTAAGAAATCTATAGTAATAAAAGGTTTCAATAATTGTTGGATATACTTTCCAAAGTCTACTATAATAATATTAGTATATGCATACATTATTAAATCTAAGAAAATAGATCGTTTACTAATACAAAAAAAATTTTTATTTAGCAAATCAAATCATCACAGATTTGGGTTGGAAAAAAAAGGAATTTTTTGGCGGTATATTTTGACTACATATATTGCATATTTTTTTTATATTTTCGTATATTGAGAACTGCAAGCATATATGCATGCATTATATGCAACTTAGGTTAAAACTTAATACTTATAATCAGAGATATGGTATAAAAGGAACCTTCGAAATATGAGAAGAAAGATAATAATCTGTCGTCAATGTACAATTTTTTTGCTGGATTTTCATCGCTTATAAGGAATTATGACAAATAATTTCAGCCAATTTGATGTTCTTTTGATGAATCATATGGCACGGAAGCGATTAATTTATTATGAAAATTTATATCGTGTTGGACTTCCAAAGTAATTTTCTGAAAATAATAAATCTACTGAGTATTATTAGTATAGGCTTACGTTAAATCTAAAGAAAATAGGTCATTTATTAATACAATAAATTACAAGAAATAGATTTTATATTAGCAAACCAAATGAATTTAATTCATCACAGATTTGGGCTGAAAAAAAATTTTTTTTTGGCGGTTTATTTTGACTACATATAATGCATATTATTTATATTGAGAACCTGAGATCTTTGTATGCATATTATGCACGCATACAGAATGCAACCTAGGTTTTAATGAAGGAAACTTATAATTAGAGGAATCGTATAAAAGGAAAAAGATATTATTATATTAATTCCTCATTGCCGATCACTTTCTGCTATTATGCCTGTCTTTGCGATCATTTCCTTCAATTAGCAACCCACCCGATCTATGGTTGACGCTTATCCGGTTCACAATCCCAATACTCTAAAAAATGAAAATTTATTATCAGAAATATGTGTGATTGTAATCTTGAACAATCAAAAAAAGCAAGATATTTACCGGTATAAACTTGCACATAATCTTTAGGTGTACCAGGAATGACTTTTTCCCTAAGATCCTTTGAAATTCCCATGGCTAAATCATTACCATATTGTTCATCCTCCATACGAAAAGGTGGATGACCACTTGAAATCTCCCATAAAGTACGCCAACACTGTAAAAACATCGCTTTTTTCATTTAGTTTGTACGCTTGTATTAGATGATCGTCAAATTTACATCTGTTGAATTTTTTGGATCAATATAAAATTTCGATTGCTTTTCGTATGACACTTCGATCCTTTTTGATAGTACAAAATCAGCCAGTTTAATATGATCTTGATGAACCAATATATTAATAATTGTAAATAATATTTTACCAAATCACAATGCACAATTCCTTCATGATACAGCGTAAGCCAATTGTATTTATCCTTCCAAGTTCGTTGAAATACTTCCTCAAATAGATGTGTACCGTTATCAGCATATTCCATCACTAACAAATGTTTTTTCAATTGATCATTTTGATTTCTAAAATTTTTAATTTTCTTTTTTTCTTAATAAAGCTTTTAACAAAGTCAAAGCGATTATTTTAAAAATTAAATAAAATAAAATACCTGTCAGATGATATAATGCCCATAAAAGCGAATAATATTATCATGAAAATCCACTTCGCGACGAAATTTAAGCTTAAACCATAATGAAATGGAAAAATCTTTTTTAAATTAGTAAAATGGATACAAATATCTCGAAGGCATAAATCGCAATAGAATTACCTCATGAACGATTTCCTTAGCTATGGTATCGTTAATGTGAAAGGATTTTAATGCCAAATATTTATGAGAATTTTTCCAATTTGCACGATAGAATTTTCTAAATCTCCGGAACCAATTTCCTGAAAATTACTGAAATGTTTGTAATTGTAATATTTGATATGTTTCTTAGAAATCGCATCTTCAATCCAATTAATCCATTCATTTGAAATATCTGAAATTTGCATTTTTTATTTGACAAAAAGAATTAAATTTTTTTGGATTTTCATTCATTTCGTGATTTCACTTATTGCAGATTAGGTCGCACAGAACTTGTGAAACGGATTACAAATCCAACCTTCATAAGTTACGCGTTACCAACTTAAAATTAAAAATTATGCTCAAACTTCTTCTTGAAGTCGAGAATGTTATTCGCTTTTATGGAATCACAAGGTTCACACTTCAATGTTATCAATTTCGTTAACTTTTATGGTTTTCTCATTTGTTAGAAAATCAATTTAAAAAGTATTTATTGGTGTTAGAATATGGTGGCAACCCTTCAAAATTATCTGAAACATAATTTAAACTCTTAGTTGGAAAAATCAATACGATACTGGCATATGCTGTATCTTGTTTACATAATGAAGGGAGATTAGGTAATTTTTTAAATTGTTATATCATGTATTAAATAAGCATCGGAATTTTAACTTTATTATTATATTTTAGCATTCCCGTAATGTCTTGGTTTGTCAAAGTACCATCAAGTTATCGGATTTTGGATTAACAAAAGATCTGAAGATGAATCCAACCTTCTTTCAGAATTATCTGAAATTTTCCCTTACATTGATCCAAATCAATCTTTTTATTTCGTTGGTTTCATTTTTTTGGAATTGAAATTATGAAAAAAACATTTGGGTTATTTATGAAATCTTCAGAATGAAAATCATAAATTGGCACAATGTTGGAACATGTTATGATGAAGGACATGGTATTATAAAAGATGAAAAGTCTGCATTCAAATATTTTGATATGACAGCCAGCAGATGATGATTTTGCTATGGGGCAATTACAAGTTGGTTTTCGTTAGGAATTGGTATTGAAAAAAATTTTCAAATGGGTATGGATTGGCTTAAAAAAGGTGCAAATAATGGTAATATCTTTACCATTAATTGTCTTGGTCTTGATTATAGAAGTGAGAATGCAGTTTTTGAAAATCAGCTGAAGGAAGTTTGAATGGTATGTCATTTGGGGAAATTAATATGACAAAAATATATAAAGAAGTGCAATTTGTTGCCTTTAAACAAGGTTGTCGGAATGCTTAAAAGGTTGAAATCACTTTTAAATATAGATTTTTATGATTGATTTTACGACTTATAATAAAAAACTGTATATATCATTCATATAAATTTTCAAATCTGTAATTTTAATCTCTCGAAATTTTAAATAGAGACGACATCATCAATCACTACTGCATAGCGTTGAGATATCACGGCAAGTACTTGAAATCCTCCAAGTTATGCGTTAAAAATGAATAAAGACTTCATCGATTGACGCATTCGCAAGCTATGTTGCTAGTAGAATATGGTTTACAATTACATACCCATTACAAATTAACATCATCCTGATTACCATATTAATGTAAACGCGTAACCTTTGCCAAAGAATGCAAGTTTAAAGGTCCTTCAGATTAGCCGACCTTCACGAAAATCGTTGGGTACAGTCATCCAATGAATCCAATGGAAGCATCAGACAAAGCACTGAATACCTATTTACAATACAATAATCTCTCGATCCTTACTAAAAATTAGATCATCAATACTTTCATCCGCCATCAAATTTCTCCATCTACCACTCCGTGAGATACTTAATGTACCATAATCATCTCAATCCTCTTGTATTGCAAGTAATCGCTCCTTGACCATAACAAGTTATGAGTCAACTCTGACCTTGGAAGCTGGTAGTATTAAAGGAGGAAGAAAATTTATGTTATAAAAATTTAGATATAATATAATCTCTTATTATCAGACATCTTACACGTCACTCGCGTCACTTTTCAAAATCACATGACTGAATGTCCGATAAAAAATTTTCGTCAATGTTCTAATAATAGAATTAAGAATAGTGAATGATTATCCATCAATTCTTTGTACTATTGTTGAATTTAAATGTTTGCTTGTAGATCATTTATTTATAAGGAACAAGTAAAAATAGTTTAACGAATATCTATAATCCTAATCGAAATGGAATTATCTTATAAAGGTTATCTTTTTCTTCTCGTCACAACGAACAATGGTCATATACTTTTCTTGCAAACACCTAGTTTTTCCTCTTTTTCTGTACTTTTTGCTTCCCTTATTACCGTATTTGTGTATTAAATTAAAAACTTTAAATAAATTTTCAATTGAAATTTTTTCAAAGAAAACACCTGAAGTACCAGTTATGTTTATTCCTTTTCTTCAACTGGCTAAATTGCCAAAAGTAAGTAATATTTTGCAAGATGGACGATAAAAACGTTGTCTGCTTCCTAAACTAAATTTGTTTGCTACTGAAGAAACATCCTTTTAAAAAAGTCATGTATTGGTTGATTGAGCAGTGATTGAAGAGCGACGATTATATTTTTATTATGATTATTATTAATGGAATTTTCAATGACAAAACATTCAGTTATTAATTATCACTAAACTTAATAAATCTCTTTTTGTAGTTGTTTAACTTTGGATTGATTATTCTTGGTGACATGCCTCTAAATTAAGTGATAGAATATCCGCTGTGGTCTTGGCGTCTTTCTAGAAATTTGAGTTAGATAATTGCTAAAAGGTTAATCATGCAAAAAAAAAAAATAACCAACTTACGATAAATTCCCATATTTCAAGCAAAACGAACGAACGATTCGGTTGATAAAAAACATCCTCTATAAATACACTTCTTTCAACGTATATACTGTTCATGTGAATCATTTTTAGTTCAAGACGTTTAAGGGATGTTTTGCACCCGGTTCCACATGAGATATAATTAAAAATATTAATCGATTTACTAAACCATAGAGGTTTTAGTTTAACACACCTCTCTAAAATTCGTGAGCTGGGTCTTATGACTTTTATCAATGCAGTCCCATCAAAATTTCAGTAACGATAATATAGATTTTGAAAATAGCGTTATAAAGGTACAATATAAATAGTAATACTGTTCGATAATAAAAAAGTGACATTACAAGACGAGACATCAGTAATGTTAAAAAAAAAAAAAAAAAAAAAAAAAAAAAATGTACAATGTACAATGTAATGAAAAGTTCAGAAAGATGAAGTATTTATGTAAACAACCGCCCAACTGCCGATCATTTCCGAATGTGATTCATCGTTGTTTTGAAACGCGACAATTATGAAAACAAACCTCGTGTTAAAAAGATCAATAAAGAAAACATTTCACGTGATAATAATCAGATAAAATATTTCGTTAACGCAAAAATTCCATGTCGATTCTATTATAAAATAACTACAAAATATATATGATCGTCATGGCTATTTTTGGCCAAAAATTCGACCAAAATGAAGGTTGATAAAATTGATAATCATTTTAAAAACCCTTTACAGGTTATAACTAGTTAATTAACCAATTATATTTTTTTTAAAAAAATAGAATTTATGGTAGCCTATTTTAAATATAGCAACTTGGAATTAAATTAGTGAAACGGAACTGTTGTTTAAGTCCGGAAACTCAATTTTAATATATAAATTTTTTTTTTAACATGGAACTATATAACGAATCTGAAAAGATATTAATGACCATTTTCAAAAATAGCTGGATCTTTAATTAGCCAACTTTCAACCTATATTATTAATGTCTTATTCTTCATTTAGACTTAATGGAAATAATATTATAAACCTTAAAAAATATTAATGATGATACATATAATCATCTTTTAGTTATTTTCTTATTCAATAAATGTATTTATACCATCAAAAATTTATCAAATTATAAGCTTCAAACCATTTTAATCTCTAATAAAAAGCATAAATAATTAGGTTTTCTTGCTTATAAATTTTTATATATAATTATTTATGCTTATTTGATCTTATAGTATACTAGAAAGGGATTACTACATAATAATATAACATAAAATCAAATTTATATTTTTTGGAATCCTGTAATATGATAATATGACACAAATCAAATTATTAAAATTATTATATTTTTGAGTTAGAGTAATAATACAATTTTAAGTAAGTAATACAATTTTATAATTTTGAAATATTATATTATAAAATTTAAATTTTTGACTTGATTTGACTCAAATTTGACTCAATATATTTGACTCATAAACTAATTCAATTTATTCAGAATTCTAGTTATTGCAAATTAACTAAAGCTGTTCAAATTTAATAAGAGAATATATAATTGAAAATGCTAAAATTTAAAACAAATACAATGAAAACTCATATTTCAATCAAATTATTTAACATCATAAAATAATAATCTTAATGATAATAATAATGAGAATCAATAAGATATTAGTGAAATAGAACTTAATAATGATAATGTAAGCAATTGTGACAATGGTACATACTATTCTATTATAATACTATTAGATATTATAGTTTTTATTTTAACAATTTTAATACCTTTTATTTTAAAAATTAGCGATAAAATTAATATAAAATTGAATAGGAATGGAAGAAATATGAGAAAAATGTAAAAGTATATTATGTTTATGATGTGTATTCTTAATAAAGAAGAATCAATTCAGAATCCTACTCATTAATACAGATAATTTATATACTTTATTAACTTTTAATTTTAAGTATTATGATACTATAATAATTTATTAATGTAATATTTATTATATAAAGTATATGTTTAATAGAAAAAGAATTTTATGATTCTTTATTTACTATATCAACTAAATTTTCATATAAACTTAAACAATTAAAAACTAATGAATATAAAAATTCAAATAATAAAATTGATCAGTTGAATTATTCTTTTCAAATAATTAGAAATTTGTAGCATTAATTTTGTGAATTAATGTTATAATATCAAATTACTTTTATTTATTTTGTAATTATCATAAAGGTAAGAAATATGATATGAATAAAGTATGATTAAACTCAAAACATGCATATTATGTATATAATTTTAATATAAATTATATTTAATATAATAAATTAATATTAAATTTTATTATAAAATATAAAAATATGATGCTTTTTCAAAAAATTAATCAAAATAATTAGATCACAGATAAATTATATCTTATGCTACAAATTCTAATATACTTTTTTAATGTTATTTTATGAATTTGTTAAAAAAAGATTTTACAAATATTGATAATTACAAAAATAAAAAGACTACATATTTATTTTGAATTTTATCTTTCTATTGCAAAAAATGAAAAATGTAAATAAATATCACTTATATATCTCTAATAAAGAAAAGATATTAAAAGATTTTTAAATTAAACATTCTTTTAAAAGATAGCAAACTTTAAAAGAATAAGATATTGAGAACCTTTAATGTAAATTTTATCATTTTTATAAAATAATGTGTAAAAAATTTATAACAGATGAAGAAATTAATCAGATGTAAAGCAATGAATTATAATTTTTGTTATCCTACTATTGGTAATCTAAATAATACCAATCAATAAAAAGTAATATATCTATATACAGATATTACTTTATATATATATGTGTTTACTTAGCATATATCTCAATTTATGCAATATCTAAAATAAAAAGAAATAATATTACAATACTTTTCAACATTATAAAGAAAAATCATTAACAGGTATATTTATTAACTAATTTTATAATTAATTTGTAATATGATTAACATATAATTATCAACTTTTATTTTAGATACAATTATTTTGAAAAAAATAACAATAGATAAAAAAAATAAAAAAAACCTTTATTTTATCAGATACATAATACTTCAATTAAATATATATGAAAATATATGTATATATTCCTATCTGTCACATTTTGCTATTTTAGTTAAAAAAAATCCTTAATCGTTTATATCCTTGATCACCTTTAAACTTACAAATTTATATTTTTTTTACTGGAAAATATAGAAAATTAGTTCATTATAGAATAAAATAATAAAAAGTTATTTAAAAAAGAATTTTATTTAACTTATTTAATCTTCAAGAGTTTAACTAAAGTAGCAAAATTATACTGTGAATTAAGAGATGTAATTATATAATATATAAAAAAAAAATAAAGAATTGCTAATAGCTTTATAAATACTTATAATTAAAAAAATTTTATACTAGTATACTTGAATAATTGTTCAAATATATTAGTTTTATTTTTAAAAAATACTGTATTAGAAGATATAAAAAAGAAAGATAACAATGTCAATAAACAAATAAAATTAACTTTTAACTTATTTTTAAAATTAAATAAATTTATTTAAAAATAAAATGTTATAATAAAATGTTTTATTTGTAAAAAATTAATAATTTATTTATCATTATTAAATTATTAAAATTAAAAAAATTAAAAAAAAAAAATCTTAAAATTGATCATTCAGTTACTTTACAATTTGATGTTTAATTATAAAAATACATAAAAAATTAAAAAATAAAATGATAAAAATTTCATCTATTGCTAAAATAGAAAAAGAAAATATGTTGTGTATTATATATATGAAAAAGAAAATTATGTTTTTTTTGGTTGTATGTGATCATATGAAAAGAATGATATTTGAAGAAATTGTTTGTTTTGTTATATAGATGTTAATATACAAAATATGTAAAAAATATTTCCTTTTTTTTTTTTTAAAAAAAAAAAAATTAAAATTAAATTACAACTCTTAACATTCATTATTCTTGCTAAAAAAAAAAAAAGAAAAAAAAAAAAAAACTAAATAGAACACGATACCAAAAACATATCACAAAAAGAGTGAAAAAACTTTGTGGATGATAGAAATTGACACTGAATTGACACAAATCACTCAATCCCGGGTACGATCACATAGGATCCTCGGACAAGGAGCTTGACGTATGGTGTTTGGTAGGATGCTTAGATCGATGAATAATTGATTTCATAAACGGATGAAGGAAAGACGATTCTAAAAGGAATTGAAATTCGAATATAAGTACTATATTATCACTACTGTTAACAGTACAGCCAACTCTCCTTATAACGATTTTTTTTCTTTTTTTCTTATTTTTTTTTTCTTGATTTTTTTCTATTTTTTATCTTAACGTTCGTTATATTTTTCAATGATTTTTTGGTCAGAATAAACGTCAAATTACCCACGCTTTATATAATAGGTTATATCCGAGATTCTTTCGTTTCGTTATAACGAGAGTTGACTGTACAATAACAGTCCTAAAAGCACATAAACTTGCTTTTCTTGGCCATAAGTTCTTCCATTCTGGATTCGAGCTGTCTTCGTGCCTTTTCGGCATTTTCCTTTGCTTTCCGTTCTTCTTCCAATACTGTTTCAATAACTTTCTTTTCTTCATAAACTGATGATCTAGCATGTTCAAATTGTTCCGTCGTTTCATCCAAACTAGAACGAAGTGTTTTTATTTGTTCAACAAGTTCCGCCTTTTCTTTTTGCAAAACGTGTAATTGCTGTTTGGCTACTCGAAGATTTGTTTCATTTTCATCCAGAGAATTTTCCAAAGTTTCAACAAGTCGTTTACTTTGTATATTTTCGCCTTCGATTTTAGCAATCTTTCTGTGCAGTTTTTGTATTTCCATTGCAAGATCACCGGTTGGAGTATTGCTTCCATCAATGAAATCGTTTCTTGAATCAACTCTTGGTGGTGGTGGTCGAGGTATGATTCCAAATGGTGTAAGTGGCCCGAAAGAAGGTGGTGAACCAGGTGTTGGCGGTAAAGGTTGATTTGGTGGTGGAGTTGGTGGTGGCGATTTTGCTAAATTTGCCATGTTTGGACGTATTGATTTGGTAGATGATGCTGACATAATTGACAAGGTCGATAATCGAACACCTGTAGGTCCAGGTCCATCATGATCCGTAATTGACACCGCTCCAAATGACGGACGACGACGTACATTTTCAGTTTCTATTTTACGTTCAAGTTCACAAATCTTATCTTGTAGAACCTTGATAAGATTATTTTGCTGAGAAATGGTATTATCTTGCCTTTGTAATTTTGTCTTTACAGAATCATTTACGACATTTAATTTTGGAATGATGGGGGTTAAATTTTTGGAATCAAAAGAGGCTCCACTATTTCTCTTTGGTATTTGAGACTCTAATTCATTGATCTCTTTTTCAAGTAGTTCATTAATATTTAATAATCTCGTAATTTCATCCTCCATTTCCTGAGCATCTATCAAAGTTTGTTGTTTCAAATTAGCATATTCATGTTCAAGTGCTATTAATTTATTATTTAATTCGACCAATTGAGCGGCTGTCTTGTTTCCACCACGTCCGGCTAAATTTAATTGTTTCATTAAAGATTCAATCTTTTGATCAAGTTTCTTTCGATCTTCACCAAATGACTTATTAGCCTGTTCTAAACCTTCTTTCTCCGCCTCAAGTTCAGTAATTTTTTCTTTCAACTCTTCCACCGTTGCTCCTTTAAGAGCGTTATTCAAATGACCCAGTTCTTTCTCTAAATCCCTTATGTTATGTTTCAAGGAAACCACGTGATCTTCTGCTGCGGTTACTTTTGCGTGAAGATTATCATTAATTTGTCGTAAATTCTCATTGGCGGCCGCAAGTTTCGAAAGTGTGGAATCTGATGAAATGTCGTAAGTATCAAAACCATCTATTAAAGAATCATTACTTTTATGTGAAGAAAGTGTTCTCTTTTGATTTTGGGTTTCTTCAAGTGCCTTCTCCAATTCAGTAATACGGATCTTTTGCTCTTTAGAAATCTCAACAACATCCTCATATTTGGTAGCAGTTTCTGTGCATCCTTCAGCTATACTATCAAAATCATTTCGAAGATGTTCTATTTGTTGTTTAAGATCATCGCTAGTGTTTATTTGATTTTGTTTATCAGTTTCAAGTTGTTTGGTTATCTTTTCTAATTCTTCAACTTGATCGCGATATACTTTGGCCTCATTGTGAGCTTCCTTAAGTTGGTTAGTAAGTTCCTCAACAATCTCACTATGATCAACATCACTATAATTTTTTATCATAGTTGCTTTCTGTGTATCATCAAGCTCATTTTGCAATTTTTTGCATCGTGATTTGAGAAATTCGATTTCCGCATTAGCATCGTCAAGCCTTGAGGATTCGGCATTATGATTGCCTTCAGCTGCTTTGAGTTGGGTTTCCAAGGTTTTTATTAATTCAACATGTTTTGCTTCTGATTTTTTGACAATTTCTAATTCGGCGTTAACCCTATCCATCATCTCTTGTAGCCGTTTCAAATTTTCTTGTTTATCTTTTAATGCATTTATCTGTATGATTTCAGCGTGTTTGGCCTCCTCCAACTGCGCAGACATCAAAGCAATAGCACCGATACTTGTGGTTACATCTGTAGGAGATTTTCGTTCCAAGGATGCCAATTTCATCTCTAATTCCTTTACTAGATCACTTTGTTTAGCAGCTGTCTTTTTAACAGCCTCAAGTTCAGATGAAGATGGACGCTTCAATAATTCTGTCTCTAAATCATAAATTCGTGCCTGAAGCTGTTTAACGTGTCTAGATTCGGAGCTAGCAGATATTTTGGCATTTTCAAGGTCTTCTCGTGTATTATGAAGAGTAACTTCTAATTCAGAAATGAAAGCATCCTTAGTCGTAAGCATTCTTTCCTTTATCAACAAAGTAGTATTAGCTTCTCTCAATTTCTCATCTACTTCTCGAGCCTTCTTGATATGTCTTTCCTCCGAAGCTTTTGCTTCACCAAATAAAGTTCCAACGGATGCAAGTTTGTTTCCAAGACTTGTTATGGTATTCTGATCAAATTGTGAAGAACTCTTGGCTTCTACAAGTTGACTTTCCAAATTACTTTTAGAAGATTTCAATGTTGCAACTATTTTCTTCTGTTCAATTTCCTTTGTTTCAAGAGTTTTTGTAAGTTCAGTCACTCGATTAGCATGCTGATCACGTTCTTTTTCAAGCGTTTTAACCTTAACCTCGTACTCATTAATAAGACCATTCTGTGTTCCAATTTCAAGTTTGGCATTTGTCAATGCATCCTTTAGTGAGTTGGCATCCTTATCTACTACCGATTCAACATCTTTAAATGCTTGAATCTGATTTTCTAATGTTTTGATCTTTTTCAATTCCTCGTCTCGCTGTCGTTCCTTATCCGCTAATAATTTTGATAAATTATCTAGTTTTATTGAACTGACTGCATCGGCTTCCTTTGTCTTTGATAATTCTTCCCTAACATCGTTCAACTCTTTTTCAAGCGATATTATAAATTCTTTTTGTGCGTTATATTCTTTCCTTAAACTTTCTAATTCTCTAATTAAGCCATCTTTTTCTCCAGTTATAACTTTAATCTGGGATTGCAATTGTTCTATAGAAATATTCTGCTCGGATTCAGATTTTTTCAATAATGATATTTCATTCTTTAATACTTGTGATTCATCTGATTCTTTTTGTGCTGTTTCTAGTTTATTTTCTAATTCTTTAATAGTATGTTTTAAATTAGACTCTGCATTCTTTAATTCGTTTATTTCGATTTTTAACGCGGAAACCGTTGTATCTTGTTGAAGTTGTTTCAATCGATTTTCAAGTGTGTCAATCTTCTTACGTTGCATTGCATCTTGTTCACGCAAAATTTCGATTTCTTTATTGAAGAGACTAACTTGCTGTGAATCAATAAAAGTAGCAGCCGAACGTACTTCATTAAGTTGGAGTTCATGATTTTGAATCTGTGTACTTTGTCCAATTGTTTTAGACTTTAATAAGTCTATCTTGTTACGTAATGCAGCAAAGTCGTTCTCGGATCGTTCCAATTTGGTTTCGAGTATTGCAATTTTCAGTTTGTATTCGGCCTCAGATTCCTTAACTAGATTCAATTCAGTTTTTAACTTTATTATATCTTCATCTAAATTACCATCATTACCATCCTGTTCTGATAATTGCGTCTCTAGCACATTTATTCTTTCTCTCTGAGTGATTTCGACAGTTTTGTAACGTTTTAATTCTTGTTTAAGTTTTGATTCCTCTTCGTTTAATGTTTGTAAACGTTCTAAAGCAGAAGTTTCCCTTTCTTTGACTTCTCGAAGCTCTTTTTTCACATTTTCAATTTCAGATTGCAAAATCTGATCCGCACCTTTACTACTTTCTACTTTTTGTAATTGTATCTGAACTTGCAACATTTGTTTTTGCATATCTTCCTCTCGAACCTTAACTTCAGAAAGCTGAGCCTTTAACATTAAAGCTTCAGCTTCCTTCTCCCTTAATTTTTGTTGTAAAACACCTTTGACAACTAAATCTCTTTTTAATACCTCAATGAGTTCATATTTACGTTTAAGGTCGGATTTAAGCGTTTCTAAATGAGATTGTAAAGCGATCACTAAGTCCTTTTCACTTTTCAAGTTTTCAATATTATCGGATTTATTTGCAAGTTCTTCTTGTAATATTATCAACTTAGCTTGAAGTGCTTCTACAGATTTTTGTGTAGGATCTACAATATGAAGAGCGGAACTTCTGGAAGTTGGAAGAGAATTTATCTCTTTCAACTTTGAAAGCTTTAATTCAAGTTCTTTAACCCTTTCTTCTAGGACATTAACGTTTTTATCGACATTTTGTTCAAGTTTATCTGACGAATTCACATTGTCAGAAGTGTCGCTGTCGACTACAACGGCTTCAGAAATGCTAACTGATTTGTCATCAATAGCAAAACGATATGCTTGTTTTACCTCCTGAAGCTCATTTTCGAGTCTTTTTATAGTGCATAATCGATCCTCATTTGGGAGGACTAAAGCTGCTATAGTGTGACTTTTAGCTTCAATTTCTACCTGAAGTTTCTCAACTCTCATACGTAGAGTTTTCATTTCGTTTTTGACATGTTCATATAATTCATCATTTTTTCCTTCAAGCTTAGATACAGTATCCGTCACATTTTCAAATCTTTGATTCTCTTGAACTTCGACAAGTTGAGCTTCCAGTTCTTTAATTTTCATTTGCAATTTAATAATGTTCTCTTCGATAGCATTGTTATCCAAGGCTACGTCAATGCTTTTTTCATTATAAGTTTGGTACATTTGATCTCGAAGACTTTGAATTTTCGATTCAATCTGTAAAATGTCTTCACTCTTGTTATTATTTTCTTTTTCAAGTTCAGAAATTTTTCCAATTGCTTGACTTTGTTGTTCTTTAAGGTTTTCAACTTCTTCCCGAAGTCGAATTACAATTTCAAGCTCGTCAAGTTCTGTGACAGAAGTCGAATCCGATCGATCAGAAACTTCTGTTGCCATAACAGACATAACTTCCAATTGCGCTAGAGCATCACGCCTCTTAATTTCTTCACGTAATTCTTCAACAATCTCAAGAGTTGCACGATGACTCATCTCTAAGCGTGCAAATTCTTTTTTCACAGCATCCAAACCTGTAGCTTTGTCCTCATTAAGAGATTCAAGTTGCTTTATTTCCATTTGAAGTCTTTGAGCGATCGCAAGATGAGCAAGATCTCGCCTTTCTGAACCTCTAATATCACCTGATAGAGACTTGGATTTTCGATGAAATTCACGTCGTTCTGCAGTGGTCAGACCGTTATCATAAGGACTTTTTCCAGAAACTTCGATCCGTAATGGTGGCGGAAGAGACATTCGTAGGGGATTAGGTGGACCAAAATCACTTTGTGGTGACATTGGTGTGATAGGTGTTGATGGAGTTGTACACCTGAATTCATCATATTCTGATTCCATCATTCTTGCCTCATTAAGTTGCGTCTGAAGTTCACTTATTTCATTAAGGCAGGTCTGATATTTGACCTTTATTTCGGTGAATTCTACAACAGTTTGCTCGTGAGTTTGTTGTAATTTAGATAATTTCGCCTCTAAATCCGCAACTAATAAACGATCTTGTTCGTCTTTCAATGATAGACCTTTCGCAATTGGTGAATACGTAACCGATTTTTCATCTTCGGATATTACTGACGCAATTGAGGTGGATCGTTGATGTGTACCTTGTAGATTATTTAACTCTCGTTCCTGAGATTTTAGTCGCAACTTCTCAAGTTCAATTAAGAGCTCGTTCACCTTTTGTTCAAGTTGAATAATTCTCCGGTCACGTTCATCAATCGCGCCAAGTAACATTTTCTTTTCATCATCAATATTGGATTGTCGCATCTTTTCTTCTAATTCTGAGTAAGCTAGCTCTCTCTGTTGAAGACGTTTTTCAAGTCGTTCGACCATTTGGTCAAACTTAACGGTCTGCTCTTCACTTGATGCTAAACGGGATTCTAAATTTTGGATATAACCCTCACTATTTGAACCATTCGATTTCAACTGCGATATTTCACTCTTCAATTCGTTAATCAATTCTTGATCCTTGCTTTGTTCTTCTGAATGAACTTCGAGTTTTGATTCAAGATCCTTAATATAATGTTCTGCAGTTTCTTCACGTTCACGAAGATGCTCTATCTTGTTTCTCAAATCAAAGATTAAATTCTTATTTTGTTCATTTAAATGTTCAGCATGATCTAACTTAGCTTCTTGATCGTCCATTATCGTCTCTGTATGATTCAAAGCAGCACGTGTGAGAGCCAGCTGGCTCTCAAGTGATGATATTGATTTTTCATATTCTTCAATAACAGGTTCAACCGCTTCCTGAAAACTAGCAGAAGCGTGTTCCATGAAATTCTCTTTCTCCTCTCTCAATTTTTGAGGAAATATTTTATCAATATTATTAGTCTTTGCAACACCATCATGATCAAAATTGTCCTGATGCGCTGCAAGCTCGGCAGACGTCTTTGCATGCTTTTGCGTTAATTCAGCGTATGAACGTTGTATTTGACGTAGCTGATCTTCTAGAACTTCAACGTCCTTGTGTTCGTTAGTAGGATTATTGATGTGAGGTGATTTTGGTCGCGCTAATCTACTATGCGGTGATGTGTCATTACTTGGGGGAGTAAGTAATGATGGAGTATTCCTTCCGGAACTGTTATTCGATCCGGACTGAGCATTACTATTCGATGGATTTGTAGACTTTAAGTTTCTGATTTCTGTTCTTAGTTTTAGCACTAAATTTTGTAAATGTTCCAAATCATGCCATCCTACTTCCTCTTGATTAACTGTGGCCGAGTTTTTTATGTTACGCGCTCGATTCGCGTATTTAAGTGTATTAACGGTCTCGCTCAGATTGTATTCTGCGGGTGAAACACACGCAATCATCAATGTCTGTGCATTACCGCCCAATGAATCTTGTAACAATCGAGTAAGTTTAGAATCTCGATATGGAATGTGAGTTGTGTGTTTAGCTTTGTTTGGATCACCTAAAGCCGATATTACATTTCCTAAAGCAAGTAACCCAGAATTAATTGATATACCCTCTTTAGCACGCTCTCCTACCGCAGAAGTTCTTTTTAACTATTGATGCAAATTGAAAGGAATTCCAAGTTGTCAAAAAAAAAAAAAATTAGGATGTGAAATATCATCTTATATGTATATGACTTTTAAAAAAAAGACGATTAAGAGAGGTAACACAACTTACTCTTTCACTCCCGGCCAAATCCACAAAGTGAAATTTACTTGTCACGGAAACAAATTCCCCTTCATCAATTCGTCGGCTCATCCGTAGATTATTTGTACTTGATTGTGAGCGAATTCCAAATTTTGGTTCAAGCATTTTTGATGGGGTACCAGGTCGAGCGGGGGCTTGAGCTGTGGATGAGCCGACAAATTTTTGTTGAATCATTGTAACGGAAAATATTGCGTGTGATCGCGAAGACTGTGCATTCATATCAGTTGCACCAACTTGCCGATTTGCAGAACCTCGTGTTAAATGTCTAAAAAACAAATCATATAAGAACGTTACAACCTTTTTGACAATTTTAAATGATAATAATAATACTCTTTTTTTTTTCCTTTTTTTTTAAAAAAAAAAAAATCGTTTCTCACCCCATAACCTCATTTACGCTGTTTACTCTAATTTCTTGTAACCCACTCCATAAAATATTTCCTTTTGTATCTTCGCGGATCGTCACTTGTGGTCTACTATCCCCATAACTTTCGCCAAGAAGATCAATTAAATCTTCATTATAAATTTCAATGAATGAAACTTTTAATGAAAATTTCCTTGATTTATAATGTGGAGCATTCATCGAGGAAAATAGCGTTTGCATTGCTCGAGGGATTATACCCTTGGATTCTGGTGGAATTGATGTATTATCTGCTGTTCCCATTGTATGTGTTTTACCCGAAGATGTTTGACCATAAGCCAATATTGTCACATTATAGCCTATATAAACAAAAGATAAAAAAAGAATTTATTAAATTTACGATTTTATAAAAATAATTAAAATCTAATTGATATATCCAATTCTTAACGCGTAACAAATCCAATGAAAGAAATTTTTACATAAAATCCATGTGATTGAGTAAATAATAAGTTGGTTATAAAACTAAATCCATAAATCCAACAACCCGTCCTTTACTCTCTCTCATCATCTCGCGAAAAAAAAAAACTATACTGCGCCACCGTAGAACGAGAACATATATCGTACTAAATGAACAGATCAATCATCACATACCCTCTAAAAAATTCTCTACTAATTTTACAATTGCTTTATCATACACATCATGTTGAGTTGCTTCCGGTCCAAATACATAATCAAAACTAAATGATTGTTTCTTTTCGGATTGAACAATGACTTGATTCGGCGGGGAAGCTGAGAGAATTTGACGTTGAAATCGTGTCGGTAAATTTGTTGTGTCTTCATTTGTGATTGGTCTAATACGAATTGCTATGAAAATATGAAATGATTTAATTAGTGATGAAAGTAATATTTAATCGGAGTTAAAGCCGGTTATGTCCAAAAAGGAAATTTATCATGACGGATTTATATAAATATTTAAAATATTCATTCGAAAGTGATATATTTTGATCCAATTTGTCCATTAGGGTTGGGTTGACTACCTACCCACTTGTACAGAGGTCTTTTCTGACCCCCCTCCTGTTGCCATCACTAAATTATTATTGAAAAGCTCTTTTGTAATTAATTGACTTTGGAAGGTAAATTGTTCTGATTGAGTCGAAGATTTTAATAGCTCGCCTTTTTCTTTATTTAAATGTTATTCAACTCTACCAGTAAATAACTTTTTGGTACGAGCCCGCTCGTTTTATTTTATTTTTGTTTTGTTTTTCCTTCTTTTTTTTTGTTATAAATTGCTTTACTGAATTATATAATATAAATATTTTAAATAGTATTTTGACACTTTTTTTTATATTTTATATAAGGCTCTAATAAATTATAAATACTATAATACAAGTTTAGCGAATGTCGACTAGTTAAACGCCAATATGAATGTCATAGAAGGAAAGGAAGAAGCCGACAAAAGGGAGATAAATAAAAAAAAATTTCCCTACGGCTATCAAAAAAAAAAAATATGAAACGTGACGCCGTGAGTACTTTTAGAATAAAAGGTATTTTAAAGGTTAAAGTTTTCGCCTTTTGATTTTTTTTTTTTTTTTGGTCTTTTCTTCCTGCTTGGAGGCCTGTTCTTTGAGTAACTAGTCGAATTCGTAACACCAAAAAATAAAATCTTATATAAATCGTTGGTTTTATTCTTATTAATTTTACAAACTTGTGTTCAATTTTCCTGCTTGTGTGATATTTTTTTGGAGGTTGTCCTAATGTCTACAAATGTGTCGAACAGATATGATTAACTTCTCGACACAAAGAGCGTCATATTACCTTTTCTTTCGTCAATCGTTCTGACATAATATGAAATTTTTTGCTTGTCTATCGCGGTACCATGCTGCAAAAGGTTACCACCAGAAAATATGTTTATGATAATAGACTACATTGTCCGCATATCAAGGCAATATCAATTATATTGTTTATTATTTATTGTGTATGATGATCATTGATCATTTAATATATTTTTAGAATAAATGACAAAATAAAAAATAAAACCGTTTTTTTTTATTATACAATCATTTCAAATAATTATATTATTGATGAATGTTTCACCCAGCCTAAAGGATCATCTGATCAACTGAAAGAAATTTTTTTCGTTAACTCATTTTTCAATTCATAGTTATTAATGCACACTTGGTTTTAATTATGGACAAAACTGGTATATTTGAGATAGAAGTCCTGAAAGTTTCTGGTTTTTTATGGATAAATAAATAATGTCTGACATTTGACAAACTTTTATCTTCAACTTGATTTAGGAAAATTGGTTTTGTATGAATGGTAATAAATGTATTTCTATGCTATTTAAGTAAGGTTGCCGATTCGGGAAAAGATTTAGCTCTTCCTGCAAAACCCTGCATAAAACATTATTTTGTGATATCATGTGATGTAATTGGTACGATCAACATTTCATTTTAACAATATTAATTGTTAATATATATATTTAAACAATTTATATTAATATTTGATTTTCTTTAAATGCATATAACCCAACCTTAAATGCATATTTTTTTACATTTTAATATAATCTTGTATTATTAAGGTTAACTTTCAATATATCAGATCTGTAAAACTAATTTTTGTTAAATAAAAGTAATGATAAAATTGGTTAATAAATATCATTAATTATAATATTAATAAATAAAAAAAAATCTATTTGAATTTTTTATTATGTTAATATTTAATATATTAAAATATTAAACTATCCCTTAAATGGTAATGATTTTTGTTCAAGATTTCAAAATATTATTTTTTATTTTTAATAATTAAAATATTAAATATACAAATTTTCAACTATAAATTTATGATTTTCCATAAATAAACTATATATAAAATATATAAATAAATTTATATATTTTATAAAGTTTTTTTAATAATATAAAATAAATAAAATTATAAATTTTAGCTTTTATAAAGAAAATACTTTTATTAAAAATATTTAAAACTTTGATTTAAATTAATGCAATAAGTTACTAATTAATATAATTTTTTTTTATAATTTTACTTAAAATATATTATAAATTTATTATAAAAACATTATTTGTTTAATAACTAATTTTTAATATATCTAAAAATAAGTTTAATTAGTAAATAAAATTTCAAAGAAAAATCATTAAAAAGATAATAATAATTAAAAAAAACTTAATTTAAATTTATAAATCTTTTTAATTAAAAATATAAATTTTTATTAAATCTATATTAATAAATAAATTAAAAAAAAATTTTAATAAAAATTTAATTAAAATTAATTAAATATTAAATATTAATTTATTTATTTAGTAAAATTAAAAATATATAAATAATTAATATAAAATTTAAAATTAAAAATTATATACTATTCATAACCAAAATTTTGTAGTTTAAATTTACTAAAATTAGTTTGGTTAAGTGTTAAAACTAGTTTAATTAATAGTTAAAATTACCAAAACTAATTTTATTTAACTAAAACTAATTTTTAGTAGTTTAAGATAGCAATCTTAATATGAATATAATCAGTCATCAGACATGTCGTATGTCGATCATAGCAAATGATATTGATATAGATATCGATCATTTGATTGACAAAATTTTATATGATATTATGTCTTTTTTTATTTTGTGATATGTAAATTGTGTTACATTTCTAACTAAATCGAACAGTTATTACATCAAAATGTTTGTTGACATCTTGCGAAAATTTTATAAACTTTTAAAAGCGAACAGTTCAATCAGTTTAAGAAAATTTTGTTGGAAAAATCATCTATTATTTAATATATTTATTATATGAATAATCAAAACTTTTTAAATTCCTTTTTTTATGTCTATTTAATACTTTTCAACTATTTTTATTTAAACAAAAAATTACATTATTTTTAAAATAAAAACATACTTTAAATACAAATATAAAATTTTTTAAAATATTACAAACAAATAAGTTTGCAATTATTCAACTAATTATTTAATTATAAAACAAACCACTTAAAAATATATTTAGAATTATTATTTGATTATTTCCTATAATAAATATATAAATTTTATTATTCTTTATATTAAAAATTAGAGAAATTTTAACATAATTTAAGAATAACCTAAAATTTACTTAAATATTTACCTTTTCCACCTTAATAAAACTTGTTTCTTTTGCTAAATTATAATATATATTATTAGTTAAATGTTATCTAATAAATATTTTTAAATTAAAAGATCAAAATTTTTTAATTTTTTTACTAAAAATCAATTTTTTACATTTTATATAAAAACTATTTGAATAATTAATTACCTTTACAACCTAAAAAATTATTTTTCCTCATGTAAAATTATATTTATTTTAACTGTCAAAATCATACTTTCTTTTCCACTTTTAAGAAGATCTTAAAAAAAGTAGCTTTTTAGAACAAAACTTCTTGTAATTGTAAAAAAAAAAAAATTTTTAAAATAGTGAATTATTAAAATAAATGAATAGATCTTATGACATTCTATCAATTACCTAATTTATATAAGCAGTATATGTTAAAAATTATAGTTAACTATGAAGCAAATTTTTTAATTACTGTTATACAAACAAATTTAATTATAAATTGATCTGCATGCGACATGTCTAGCTACTAATATATATTGAAAAAATAAATTTATTAAACTAATTAATATTAAAGATAGGCATTATAATTAAGAAGTTGCAATTTGCTTGCAACTAGTGATACTTGACTAAACTTTTTTTTGAAAATTATAATTTCGTCAAAAAATTTGTCTCTTTAATATTTTTATATGAATAAATATAAAATTATTATATTTTTTAATGTATTTTAATTCAAGGAATTTA